GCCATAACAGCCTTGAGATGCCAACAACAAACCCCACATGAAGGAAGGAATGCAGACAGATGCTGTGAAAACCCGACCTACCCCCCACCTTCGGATTGGTGGACTTCAGCCTGGCGAGGTCATCAACCTGCAGGAGTCAAATGGGCTCTGCGCTCCTCCCAAGATCTCCCTCCCACCTGTGGCTACAGTGGTTGAGCGCCGTACATGGCTGCTCTTGCTGGGGAAACAGGAACCCAGCCCCCCCTGCCTTCCTATTGTGATGTTCTGTTGCTTATCTGTTGAGGTGTTTTTTTTTAGCAGAGCAAAGCTGCCCTCCTGGGGGGAGAGTAGCTATGAAATGCCTTTTTTTCCCTCTTCCCGAATCCATTCCTCGTGTTATCCTTTTCTCTCTATTAAGGTAGCGCGACTCGGGTTGCGAATGACCACAGTCACCAATTCTTGTCATGTGTCTTGCCCAGTATGTCTGATCTCTGAATTGTGTGTACTGAAACTCTAATTTCCCTCTGGGACAAATAAAGCTTTTCTGATTTTCTGATTTCTGAATTCAAAATTACTTTATTAATCCCAGAGGGAAACTGATTGCTGTAGTAGCTCAGAATAATAGTAATAATCAAGTCATCAAAGAGTTATTGTATATTACAATAGCTGTTGGCAGGAAGGATCTCCAGTAGCGGTCAGTGTTGCAGCCAAACTGAAGAAGCCTCTGACTGAAGACACTCTTCTGTTGTCGGACAGTCTTGAGAAGAGAATGCTCAGGGTTGTCCAGAATTTTCTTGATTCTCTGGAGAATCCTTCTTTGCATTATCTCCTCCAGCGGTTCCACAGTCATCCCCAGAACAGAACCAGCCTTTTTATTAGGCTGTTGAGCCTTTTCAGGTCCCTGCTTCTGATGCTGCTACCCCAACAGACGATGGCTGAAGAGATCACACTCTCAACAACAGACTTGTAGAAGGTCTGCAGCATCTTGCTACAGACACTGAAGGACCTAAGCGTCCTCAAGAAGTGCAGTCTGCTGTGTCCCTTCTTGTAAACGGCTTCGCTGTTCTTTCTCCAGTCCAGTCTGTTGTCCGGGTGAACTCCAAGGTATTTGTATTCCTCAACCACCTCCACTTCTTCTCCCATGATGGAAACAGTGTTTGACTCCACCCTGTTTCTTCTGAAGTCTAAAATCATCTCCTTTGTTTTGGTCACGTTCAAGGTCAGATGATTGTTTCCACACCATGCCACAAAGCGCTCCACCAGCTCTCTGTACTCAGCTTCCTGTCCATCTCTGATACACCCGACAACTGCAGAGTCATCTGAGTATTTCTGTAGATGACAGGTCTCTGATTTGTACTGGAAGTCTGAGGTGTCAAGGCTGAAAAGGAATGGTGAGAGTACAGTCCCCTGTGGTGCTCCAATGTTACTGATCACCTGGTTTGATGTGCAGTTCTTCAGCCTCACAAACTGTGGTCTGTTTGTCAGGTAGTCTTTAATCCAGGCGATAGTTGAGGCCCCCACCTGTGTCTTCTGGAGTTTCTGGCAAAGTACATCAGGCTGGATTGTGTTAAATGCACTGGAGAAATCAAAGAACATGACCTTCACAGTGCTGCCTGCTTTGTCCAGATGACAGTGGGTTGGTTGAAGCAGCTGGATGATGGCATCTTCAACTCCAACTCCATGGCGATAAGCAAATTGCAGCGGGTCCTGATATGTCCTAGTTTGCTTATTCAGGTGGACCACCAGGAGTCTCTCCAGGACCTTCATGATGTGGGATGTCAGGGCAACCGGTCTGTAGTCGTCATTGACTGATGGGCGAGTTTTCTTTGGAACTGGAACAAGGCAGGATGTCTTCCACAGGACTGGAACCTTCTCCTGGGCCAGGCTGAGGTTGAAGAGGTGCTGCAGAATCCCACAGAGCTGCTCTGCACAGGCCTTCAGTACTCTGGGTCTGACACATAAGTCCGATTCTTCCCCCGACCCCACCCCACCCCCCGCCGCCGTCAGACATCTGGAACTTTTCCCTGCTGTGTGAACGCAGCCGAAAGGACAAGTTCCGGTACAAAAGTGGTGTGTCTGAAAACACAGGTCCGGTTAAAAACCGGATTGAATTGTCTGCAAATGTTCCAGAATGTCTGTCTGAAAAGGGCTTTTGTCTTCCCACCTCAGTTTATATAGGTCTGTTATTTCAGTGTGTGTGTCTTTCCCCAGCTCGGTGTGTGCGTGTGTGTCCTTCCCCAGCTCGGTGTGTGTGTGTCCTTCCCCAGCTCAGTGTAGTGTGTGTGTGTGTGTGTGAGTCCTTCCCTCAGTCTTTAGGTTTAGTTTTGTGTTTCATAGTTTTAGGTTTATCTGCCCTCCTCTGGTTCTGTTCCCCATTTAGTTAATCGTATTCACCTGCTTTCCCTCCAGCCTCACTCCACACACCTGCTGCCTGTTTCCCTAATTGCTCCTCCCAGTCTATATAAGCCCTGTCTTGTCTCTGTGTTGTGTCGGTCCATTGTGCTATTCTGTCAGTCTTCTCTAGTCTTTAGTGTTTTGTCTCTAGTTTAGTAACTGGACATCTTTGGATTTTTGGCTCCCAGCATTTGTAGTTATTTTCTTTTCTTTGCTCATCCAATAAAGGATTTTTTCTTATCTTCACTTCTGCCTCGTGTCATCCTGGGTATCTGCATTTTGGGTCCAAACCAACCTCGTACCGTGACATCTACAGACAGTTGAGAGAGGCATATCAGGTTCCACTGTTTCCAGGAGTCCATGATATACCCAGATGGCTCTGTCCCAGGGGGGCATCCGGGAGCCCCTTCTCCCGTTCTCATCATTGAAAAAATGTTGTCAATCGCATTGAGACCAACTGACCAGATCCATTTTTAATAATTTCCAGTGTCCAGAAAAAATATATGCTCTATATTTTTATGTATGTGTTAATTAATCCTTAATTCATCAAAGTGGAAATTATTTAAAAAGACTTACATAATTAATTAGCATTATTATGCATATTACGTAACACACTATCTCTATTTCCACTTATCTACGCGCACTGAGCAGGAGTCGAACCCACGCTCTTCGACTCCCGGAGAAAACAGTTTAAAAAATAGAAAAAGCAATGAGAAGAATGAGCAACAGGCACTGAGGCAGAACCAGCTGGATTTGCTGCATCTAGAACGTTCAAAGTGAAACTTTACTCAGTTATGTTATATTTGTCAAAACACGAGAAATTTGTTTAGGCTTTCAGCAGCCGGCCACACCCAGAATGTTCCAGGAAACGGTGAGTTATTCAATAGTTTTATTAGGTAAACTGGTTATTCACATCAGAATAATTAATAATTACCCAGGCATTCAGAGAATCTAATACATGCTTTCTTCTGCTTTGATGTATTAAAGTCCTTCTGCAGCAGCGGTCTGAGCATCAGCAGCATCACATGTTTGAGCAGAAGGAACTAATCCTGCAGATCCAGGCCTGGAGCGTGGTGTGCACAGGGCAGAGGGATAAGATCAACACGAGTGTGCAGAAGATCCTGGTGGGGCGGCGGCTACAGCTGCTGTACATCCTGTTGGATGGAAGCAGAGAGCAGAGAGAAACAACTCCAGCTGAACTAGATCCACACACATTCATCCCTCTGCTAGTGGCCAGCATGGAAGGAAGAGTTAAAACACAGAGGAAGAGCCTGGAACCAGCTGGGAAAACCTCTCGTGAGCCATTGTGATGCTTTAAACTCCCGGAGTCAGAGATCAGATCTGAGAATTGAAACACACCCAAATTTAGACCAGTTATGGCGAACAGACGACAGGTGGAAGACAGATCTTTGTTATCAACGCTAAATTTACGTTCCTTTCATGACACCCAGCAGTTATTACAGGTTCCTTTGATGCCACAGCGTCCAGTGAGAGCAGGTCTTCCATCACCCACAACAAGGCCCCACCCACAAAACAAGTTTTTATTCCAAACCAAGAAAATGTTTTCTGAGCAAATAGTAAAAAAAAAAAAAAAAATTGGTTTAAATCATTTTTTAAACAAAAATTTTAAATAAAAAAATAATGATTTTTTAAATTCAGCTTAGATGAAAGAGAAAGGAAACCTCCTGTCTGCACTTCTACAGGTTCTAGGTCTATGTTTCCTCTCAGCGCCCCAGCTGAGACTCTTCCAGAGTTCCAGGCTTGCCCTCACTCCCAGCTTTGTGGGGTTTAAACTCTCTCGAGGGTTTCCTGTTTAATGGGACAACTGGACCGACTGGGAGGAAGTGACCTGCTGGAGATCTGAGGAGGATCTGGACGTTTTACGGCTCTGTGAAGGTCAGGAGGACCAGAAATTAAAAACACTTCATCTTGCTGAAATGTCATTGTTTCATTTAAATCTAGAATGTTTGTTGTGACTAAAACATGTAACTATGTTCATGTTTATAATCAGTTTATGATTACTGTGTCCTTTGACATGAATGAAAAACCTTACATTCTTATTTTTTTCTCTCTTACACTTTCATTTCTGTCTGTTTTCTGTTTTAATTAGGATTTGTTTTCTTTTGCTTTCCAATTTATTTGCTTGTTTTCTTTAATTACCTGTTAAGATTTTCTATTAATTTTGTCCAGTTTAAATAATTAAAATTATTTTTATTGACATTTAGTGAGAAGTTTAGTCATTTGTCATACTTTGGATGAAACAGCTGGTTTTTAAATTTGCTTTATGTATAAAACCATCCAACCACCCACTTATCCATCCATCCATCCATCCATCCATCCATCCATCCATCCAACCACCCACTTGTCCATCCATCCATCCATCCATCCAACCACCCACTCCTTCATCCATCCATCCACCCACTCCTTCATCCATCCAACCACCCACTTGTCCATCCATCCATCCATCCATCCAACCACCCACTCCTTCATCCATCCATCCACCCACTCCTTCATCCATCCAACCACCCACTTGTCCATCCATCCATCCATCCATCCATCCATCCAATCAAGCACTCGTCCATCCATCCATCCATCCATCCAACTGCCTACTCAACCATCCAACCATCCAATCGTCCATCCATCCATTCAAACACCCACTCATCCATCCATTCATCGAACCACCCACTCATCCATCCAACCATCCAACAACCCACTCGTCCATCCATCCATAAAACCACCCACTCAACCATCCATCCTTCCGTCCGTCCAGCCACCCACTCATCCATTTACAATATATATTTGAATGAAAGGGAGCAGATAGAAGAAAAATCTTATTATTTCTGCCCCCTTTTTAAACTTAAATATCAATTTATCCATCCATCCAACCACCTGCTCATCCATCCAACCACCTGCTCATCCATCCAACCGCCCACCCACACATCCATCCATCAGTCCAATATTTAGCAGCTGTATCTGAGTAAAGCCAAACACCTTCATACATTGTAGGGTTCATGATGTCGCCCAGCCTCCTTTTGGTCAGTGGAGTTGTTTTCTTTTCCTCTGTTGCCCTGCCCACCCTGTCCTTCTCTCATGGTGCAAGCCACGCCTCCTGTCTGGAGATGATTCCTGGTCATATCCGTGCTCATCCTCTGGATCCGCATCACAGCTTTGTCATCTTTCACGCATCTGCCTCCTCATATTTACCTGGACAGCTCATAACAGGTACTGATCCCATCACACACTAACGAGTGCTTGTTTACATCTTTGAATCATAACTTTTTAATGTAATCAGATGCTTTTCTTCCTGGCACACTGTAATTCATCCTAATACAGGGAGCCTAAGTCTCCTCCCCTTCTGGTCGGCTCATGGGTCCCCAGAACAAAGAAAAATGAATTTAAGTCAACGGGGCTATAAAAGTTATTTTCTACCCCACTTCTCCCCAGCATAGCTGCTACTCACCATGGTTTTCTCCATGTTAGATGCTCCTTCTGTCATCCTGGAAGAAAGATTCAAAGCTTGCTAAACTAATCTTCTCCTTGTCTCCATGTCTGCATCGATGATAGCGATGATGCAGCGATGGTGAGACGAACATTTGTAGTCCTACACGTCTTTTCACACAAAACCTAAAATAACTTTGGCCCCTTTCGAAGATGAGCTCTTTCTTGGCATCGGAATGTGTCTTTAAAATTCACGGACATCATATGTGAAATCTATGGCATGACAAATGGGATTAGAGATGAACTATTATCCTCTCATAGGCTCCCATTCATTTTTTGGGCAGTAGGGGACCCATGGTCCAGAGGTGCATGGGCATGAATTAGGCTCTCTTTCTCCATGCTCAGTTACAGTCCGAAGCTCTCGGGACTTCATGGGTTTCCTGCTCCAGGCCCGTGGTGCTGGTGATCAACGACGTCGGTATGGAAGAGGTGCAAGGATCAGGTCGAGAAGAATTGGTCCTCCCTTGGTGATTGGTTCCTGGATCCTAACTCCCCCAGGAACCCACACCTTGCACTGTCTTTCAGAGGGCGACACAATCACCCACTCTGACAAACAACTGAAGAGAAACCTCTCATTTGTCTGGAGGGCTCCCGACAAACCAATGGGAGACGTACAATTCCAGTGAGACTTTACGCTATCTTTGAAAATCATTGAAACAATGTTCCAGAGTTGGTGAGGGCTAACCATGTTTGTGTCCTCTGTATTGCAGCATCACTGTGGTGCAGTCCTACTTCATTTATTGGGCTGGTGTTGAGTCTGCAGTGGTGCGTGATGGAAATCGTAGTGTTTGGAGGGGTGGTGAGACGGCTGGACCACTGGACATAGGTAGCATGAGCTTTTCCTTCCAGGAAGAAAACACAACTGACCTCTCAGGTGGGTAAAGTGGGTAAGCTGTAAAAGTCACCTTCAATCTAAAGTAAGTGAAGGGGTGTCAGACCTTTTTTCTCCCTGCCTTGCAGCTCTGGAAGAAAACACCTCATTTGTCAAACAAACCAAGTGGACAACTACAGCTGTTACTTCCAAACCACCCATAAAAACAAACAGTGGAGACCAAACTCAGAAATTTGTAAACACGGGAGTTGCTCCCACAATGGTGGAATTGACCAACTTTGAGACTTTGACAAAACTTGAAGAAAATCCAACAATCCCTCTGGCTTTAGGATCAATCCAGAGCAAAACCAGCAGCACTCCTGAATCCCAATCAAAGATGTCTGAAAAAGCAACCGTTGACCCTGGTTCTCACACCAAGGGTCCCAGGAGTTCCTCCCTTTCCCCGCCCTCTGTTACCACAGCTGAAAACCAAAAGATGGACACCACAACCACAGATCAAACTTGGACCAGTCCAGGCTCTCTGCTGAACTCTCTAGTTCCCTTCTTTCCTCAAAAGGGAATAGGGACATGGATGAAAGATCCTGGGATAAATTCTCAGGATCCACTTCTGAACATCAACCAAAAAGGAAATGACACATTAGTTTCTGAAAGTTCTTCATCTGCAATGTCTGGGACTATCAACAGGTCAAAGGAAGCAGATGGAAATGAACAAACGTTGTCCAGAACAAGTTCAGTCAAAGGAGAAACCGGTTCATTGTCCATAACTTCATCCAAACCAGATTCCCGTTTTCATACAACTTCAAGGCAGATGTATTTATATACAGAAACGTCTTCCCCCAAGCCTCAGACCTGGTCACCAAAAACACTTTCTCCGTCCATATCTACACCTAAGTCTTCTCAGGTTACCAAAGCTGGCCCTCCGTCCTTAGACCCTGTACATGACACAAGTCCATCTGGATCCAAAAGCACCACAAAACCAACCACTTTGTTTCAAATGTCCCAGAGTAGTCCTCCTCCAGCCTCGTCTCCAAGCATCCCTCACCAAGCCCTGGGGACTACCTCGATTTCGACTCAGACTAAACCTGACTTTGTTCATAGAGACCAGTCCCAATCTGAGACAACAGAAGAGTCTTTGGACACGTCTCCACAACCACAGTCCCAGACCCTTTTGAAAACACGGAGGACATCATCCTCAAGACCAGACAACCCTGTAACGTCTACATCTACGACCCCAGATTTGCGTTTTGTTTCCTCCCTCACACCTTCTCCTACTTTTACATCTCCTAACCATCTTTCTTCGGGTTCCTCAGGTGATCCTTCACACAGCTCTTCTTTTATACATCCCAGTGATCCCGCTTCCTCTCATCCATCTGAATATTCAGTCCTGGTCTCCACGCATCCATCTTCCAGGCCAACCACTCCCATCCATTCCTCTTCATCCTTCCAAACAAAACACCTCAGAGCAACTATGGCTATTTCTGCTCTTCCATCCCCTTTACCGATCTCCACACCTTCACATTTACCTTCTGCTCCTTCTCCATCCACCCCAACATCTTCTACCACTCAGCCCTCAAGCTTCAACCCTCCAACAGACTCTTTATTTTCTACTGCCGCAGTAAGCACCAACCCTAACTCCTCCCACTGTTTCCTGTTCTCCAACATTTCATCACCTTCTACTGTCACAAAGGTCTCCTCATCAACATCAAAGCCTACGTCTTTTGCTTCTCCCCCACCTTCACTGCCACCTACTTCTACCTCAACACCATTGTCCGTTGGAGGAAGTTCCTCATCATCCTACGTGTCATCCATCACCACCCCACATCCAGGACCTTTGTCTTCTATTCATCTTCTTCCCCAGACTCCTGTCACATCTTCTGTACCCTCCAAGAAGACCACAGAAGGTCAGAGGGTGGGAATTCCTCTTACATCTTCTAATCCGGTGACAAACCTGGGCTCACCAACACAGACAACGGTCATTCACCTGAACCCCAAACCTTTTCCAAACCACAAGCTCAATCGCGGCCAGAAGACCAAACCAGAGCTTCCAAACATTGACACCAAACCCAAGAAACCATCAGGTCCTTCTGAAGGTCCGGACAAGAAAGGGAAGTATCCAGACATCAACCCCAGACACAGCACCTGGGAGCTGGCTATGTTGCTGGGCTGTTCGGCTGGTTTGGGTATGGTTCTAGTGGTTGGGGTGAGGTACATGTACCGCCAGGCCTGCGGCAGGTGGACCGAGGTGACGCTGAACGACAGGGAGAGGGAGTATGACAGAGGGGGGCGGGGGCTGATTCAGGTCCAGGAGTGTGGAGATTTGGTCAGAGTCAGAAAAATCAGAGAGAACAGCTTTGTTCTTCTGACGGAGTACGATGTGTTAGCGCCACCTGGTGAATGAAATACGGGTTCCTAAAGCCAGTTTACCCAGTATCTCACTGGGCTGTTGTCAGCTGGTCGGAAATTCACAACGGCTTTAAACGCCTGTTAATGTTTCCTAAAGTGTGCGTTGAATTTTAAATATTTCAGAAATTTGCTGCATCTGTGATCCGTTATGATGGCCATCAAACCGTTTCTAACTCCTGCCCTGAAGGAACGTGGGACAACGTTGAACTTTAGCCCAGAAAGATACGGTCTTCAGACAAAAATGTGTTTACCAGGATCATATGAAAGACCTGGTATCTTGTTCTGCTGCATCTCCACCAGGAGCTTTATGGCCTCTTTGTGCTGTGACTAAATAACCTCCGTTAGACGAATATAAGAGTCGGTCTTTGTAATAACGGAGGCTGAAGTCTGCCTGAGTTTGACCTTTTCTACAAGAGGAACTCAAATTTGGTCAGAAATTTAGATTATTAGTATCAGATTGTTTAAAGCCACTATCGTCATTAATGAAACTAACGACTATTGTGATTGTATTGTTTAGGTACATTATTCAGATTGCATGCTAATTTGACATCTCTTTTTCTCTCTTGCACCATATTTTTTTTTGTCTATTAAAAATGAGAAATTCAACATTTAGAAACTTATGCCTAGTCCACACGTAGCCGGGGTTTTTTGAAAACGAATATCCGCCCCTCCAAAAACTTGCATCCACACTACCTCGTTTAAAAAAAAACTGTCCACACGTACCCGGATAAATACGTTGTTAAGGACATGCCAGACCTGTAGGCGGCAGTACTTCCCCCGTTCTTAACCTCGTCCTTCGTCTGTGGTCTTCAGCAAGGAGCAGTAATTCCGCTTGCAAAAACAAACAAGCAAAAAGCGCTTGGACAATTGATAAAGCGAGCGCAGCTCTGAGGGCTTCCATGCTGTCGGCTAGTGTAAACACAGGTCGCACACGTGATGTCAGCAGTTTTTTGTCGCGGAAAGTGACGATGCGGACCTTAAAACTCCGGTTTTGTCTGTCCACACGCAGACACCCAAAACGGAGAAAACGCAGATCTTCACTTTGGCCGGAGTTTTTAAAAAGATCCGTTTTCGTGTGGATGACAGGCCAAAACGTAGAAAAATATCTACGTTTTGGCAGATCCCCGGCTACGTGTGGACAGGGCCTTAGACCCAAAACTTATTTTACCAGACTAAAGTTAGGTAACTCTAACTGGTTTTGGTTGACTCACACCCCTGGTGGTTGGATTTGACTGTTTTAGGTAACGGAGTTTCTCTCATTGTGAGAATAAAAGCTCACTTGCTTATTTTACATCAGCTATATGTTGAACTGATACTTAGTTCTGACTCATGAGCGGATTAGTGAAGCTGTTCACCTCTAATCCCGTTTTCACTTGTAAACCTTTACCAGTGTGTTAATAAAGTGCATTTTCAGTACCGTGCAGCTCCTTCTAGCAGTGAGGCTTCATAATGTTGGTTTTTAATGGTTTAGCTGTGCTTTAAAAGGACACAGCCTTGATGGAAGAGCTGGCAGAACTTTCACAGGCTTCTCTTATCCTGCATTCATCCAAGCGATGAGTCGATGGAGCCATCTGTCCTGAAAAAGCCCGGTCAGCGAGACCAGTCAGCTGCCAACTGGTCCCATGTGGGCCGACAACAAATAACAGGAATTATTATTATTAGCTGCGTTTGGTCCTGAGCACAAATATGAGCATTGTTAGCTAAATCAGATGAAACCAGTAGACATCCAGTCTCAGCAGGAGTGGCAGAAGTTAGTGAAACACGGTTTTAGTTGTTTATTTAATAAAATACCTTCACACGGCTGCACCCTTTCATACTTATTAGTATTACTGGGATAAAATCTGGGAAACGTACTCACCGTAAACAACCTCATTTAGGGGAAACAAAGACTAGTTATGCATCATGTGTGACGTTTCAGAGCAAGAATCCAGAATGTAGCTGCTAGTTTAGCAGTCTGGCTAGCACCTCCTGCTTCTAGAGTCTCCGCCCACTCAGAGTGATGTCACCAACAGTTACGATCCATCCATTCCCTTTAAGCCCCCCCCCCCCCCCCCCCCCCCCATGTAAATAAGTAGAACATAAACAGTTTTATTTATTTAAAGGGAACGTTTGCAGTTTTTCCTTGGCACCCCCTAGAGTCCGTTATTAATTCATTGTTGTAAAATCAAAAGTGAAACTTTTCTCCTCGCTGTGCGTTTGTCTTTTTAACCCCTTAAAGGGACTTTACTGAGTTTAGAAATTTTATGCTTGCGATTGCCCCCTCAGGCCAAAAGCGTAACAGCAGCTTCAATAGTAGGCTCGTGCACGAGGCGCACATGCTGTACGTGCACACTCCTTAACGAAAATAACAGCTGAGGCAGTCCTGTGCGTGTGTGTGGCCCGGAGGACAGGAGAATGCGCAGCTAATTAATTAAATAATTTGGTTCTGTACCTTTCTCTTCAGCACAGCCGACAAAGGTTTATGATGGGTCAGTCCTCCTGCATGCTCAGATCATTCCCTTCCCTTGCTTGAAAAATTGTTCCAAAATGAAAGTTGAACCCACATCTTTTTTATCGGTGAAATCAATGCCGTTCGGCGAGTCTCAAATAAAAATGTGGGCGTCTTATTACTGTAAAAAATATACCATTAATGTAAAAAATAAACTCTAAATAAACTATGTTCACATCCAGAATCAAACTCAGGTCTTCTGCACAAGAATCTGACATCTTACTAGGTGAGCTAAAGCACCAGTGACATCATTTGTATCCATAACATTTATATCCTTGATGACAGCTGAAACGACGTTCAAAGAACAGTTTGGAGCGAAAATGGCTATTTTGTTGCTAATTTGCAGGAAATATCTAGAAGAAAGTTCTACAGAAAGTAGCTAAGGGTCTTCTGAAATGTGGCTACGTTCATCACTAGGCGTTAGGAACAGCGACAAAGTCGCTGAGTTGGCACTGCCTCACTCTCTGCTGCTAAAGCTACGGATAGCAAATGCTACGGGCGATGCCTGAGCGTGAACGCGCATGAAGCAGCCTGCTCGACCCGAGCAGCTCTCTTTTTCTGTGATTTTACAGAAAATCAGGCAATCACAGTAAAAATGCCAGGGCTCATTCTACAGGACCAGGGCATTGCAGGAGAATGTATTAAGAAGACATTTATTATTTCCATACATGTTTTGGCTGTCAAACTTCCATAATGCCCCTTTAATCTAACAGCAGAAATGTCTCCTCAGCCTTCATTAGTCTCTACAGGAGTAGAAATCCAACATATCAGCTGTGTTCATGATTAAAACATGCAGGAAGCAGACTGCAGCGCTAGCACGTCAGTCCCACTTTTACAAAGACTAAAGTGGGACTTAACTGGTGGTGTTGCCGGCTCTGAAGTTGCAAGTGCGGTATTCTGGCCACAGGGGGAGTGAGAGGCTCAGTGGCCTTTTATTACCATGTAAAGGGTCATTTTAGCACAGTGACTCAAGAAAATTAGTTAAAAACATGAAAAAGTTGCATAGTATGACTTTAACCCTTTTTATGTATCGGGTCTCTGTTTGGACTCGTTACCAAGGCAACTCTTTGCTTTGTATCAAGGAAAGTGTTACTGGCTCAGATTATACATAAATCATCTACCATAGAAATCTTTATTTTAGCGCTTCTGCCGCCTGACAGGAGTCATACATCTGTCTCCATCTCTGATTTAAAGAGCAAGTCACCCCCAAATCAACTTGTTTTTGCTGATAAACAAAATAAACGAGTGTCTAATCGTGCTGCAGACACGTGTCGTCAATAATTTGGCGCTTCAGTGCATTTTAGTTAAAATTTAAATATTCTGCCTAAAACTGGCAGTGTTGTGCCATTGTCAGGTAAAAACTCTGCACTGTATTTGAATTTAAATCAGCCACCGCTATTGGCTAAGAGGTATGCTATGATATAAACTGGTACATGATGATGTCACAATGCTGTCGTGAGCCTGTGTGTGTGTGTGTATTTGTTAGCGGCTCCGCCCTCTCGGTCTGCCAGGCAACAGCATTTGTTGCATTTTTCAAACATGAAGTGGGAGTGGAGTTAGACTCTGGTAGGGGTTGACTTGCTCTTTAAGTAAATAGTGGAGCCACACATGAAATCTGAGGGTTATCAGGAGAATGAGGAGATATTTTCATTATAATCTGGGATTTTTTCCTCCAGCTTTTAATATTTCTTTTATTTTATTAGCTCAACACTGTCCTCTACTGGAGTCACAGCAACACTGTAAACAAACATCCTCCAAAGTCCGGGCAGCTCTAACCCTTTTAACACCTCAGGTGTTGCAGCAGCAACTCAAACATGTGGCAGCGAGAGCTGGAAGACCCAGAGCAGAACAGCAGATTGGTCCCACACACACACCAGTTTGGCTCCTACTCAATCCTCCCCGTTCCCACGGAACTCCGGTAGAAAAATAAAACACCTTTCTCTCAAATACAAAACAGTAGATAGAAAACAAATGAGTTTGTTAGTTGTAGAAAAGAGTCTGAGGACAGGTCCCTGGTTCAGCCATAAGGTCCGTGGTGATGGTTGTGATAAGGCACTTGGACGGCCGCGTCCCTCCACCCACGTCTGACCGTGTCTCAGAAACTCGTCCTCATCAGACGGGCTGCAGGTTCGACAGCTTCACCGCCTGCAGACAGAACAAACATGAAATCAGACAGAGATTAAATTATCACAGCAAATAATCCAGTTTCCATCCAGGAGTCCATCACACACTGGTGCTGCAGCCTGAAAGGGCTCTCAGCCCCCCCGGTAATCTGGCATTAATGACGTCGACGCCACGCCTTCAGCATGTGTCTGTTTGATAAAAAGTCCTGAAGGTGAAACAGACGTTTTCCTTTATAATGAATTAGGATGAAAGTTTAAATTTAACACTAAACCTGTGGAAATGACACATTAGAAAATAATAATAATAATAAAATAATAATAATAATAATAATAATAATAATAGATTTTATTTATATGTGCCTTCAAGACATCCAAGGATATTTTACAACAATGCAGATAAAACAGACCAACAACATAAAGACATCTCACAGAAATGAATTACAACACTAAGACGTTAAAACATTAAAATTAGGAGTCACATTAAAGGAAGGTAATCTGGATTACCTCTAAAATGTGAGCAGTACATTCATATGGACAAATAAGAGTTTTTATTTTTAGGAAAAAAATCACGTAAAGTCGCCACTTTAGTTTTTAAAAAATAAGAAATTTACAAAATCAGAGATTATTCATGATATTTTTAGTAATTTTACAGATTTATCATGAAAAATGTGAATAATTCTTCCTAATTTAGGATTATAAATACGACCTGGATAGACTGGCCACTCTGACGTTCTGATAAACAATCATAGAATAAATAAAATGAAGCCAATTGAAACAAAGAGAAATAAAATTAGAGCAGATAAATGAGATTAGTTTAGATTAGAAACAATAATAACGTTTTATTATATAGATAAAAATCACAAGCACATTAAAAGTTACTGAAAATGATCGTAATACAAATAAAACAAGAAAAACAAATAAGAATTTGGTACAAAATAAAAACAAATAATTATGTTAGATAAAAACAAACGATTCGTGGTTAAAAGGTAAAAATCATAAACGTTAAATAAAAACAGAAGCTCAGTGGCGCCACCTGCTGATTACTGGAGCTCAGAGGAAGCGTCGTGAATCGTGGCTCTCTCAGTGCGTTTGTGTTAACGTTAATTAATAAAGCTTTGTTTATTTTGTATGATTGATGCGATTTCTGTAAATTAGTAAAAGCAGAAAATGGTAAAGTTGATTATTTCGTTGCCGCAAGCAGATTAAACGGGTCGGTTAGTTTTTACTCACTCAGGCCACACAGAGGTGTTGAAATGCAGCCCTATCTCAACAACAGACTAGACTGTTGGGGAGGAGAGAAGGCGGGGAGGTTAGTGTGGGAATGCAGCCGCCGTCGCAGGAAGGGGTCGGGATCGGTACCTTCGGCCCGGAGGACATCCAGGCCCGGATGGTCGGCACGAGGACGGAGCCGAGCAGGATCTGAGCCGGGTGGTAGATCAGGAGCGGGACGGAGATCAGGGACAGGTGCTCGTAGCCTTCAAACACGATCTTCAGCATGGGAATACCTGGAGAAGAGGAAAATGTCAGAGTTCCCTTTTCCGGTGAGGAAAGGGGATTAAGGTAACATCCTCCCACAGCTCCTGCTCTTTAGCTCAAGTCCTGGTTTGTACTGAATTGAAGCTCATGATGGTGACAGGATAGAAATGTTTATTTAGTTCAATAAAACTAAAATATCAACATTAAAGCAAAAAGCTGGTGAATACAAGAACAGCTCTTCAGATTTGACCTTTACTTTATCAGACCTGGAACTAGCAGCAGCATCTTAATGATTCTCGACTCGTAGCCGAGGGCTGCTCGGGATTACTCTGAGGGCCGTAAGCGGCCCGCGGGCCACGCTTTGGACCCCCGTGAAGCCACGAAGCTGGAGCCCTACCCAGAGTCAGAGACTTGTGGGTGGAGCAGAACACGATGGCGACGGTGTCTGCAGGGCTGAAGCCCAAGGCGGACCTGGAGACAGACAGGAAGTTAAACAGCATCAAGTCTGAGACTGGAGCAGCTCTTGTCTAAAGGTCAGAGGTCAGTGCTTTCAGAATAAAACACTAAATACAACTAAAATGTTATCTAAATCAGGGGTCACCAACCGTTGTGAAGCTGAGAGCCACTTCGCGGTAACCGAGCTGTATGAAGGGCTACCATGTTGATGCGCACAATGCTGACCTTTGACCTTGATTAGATTTATTCAACTCTTCACGTACAATTTACCTCATTTTAACAATAGAAGTCCAATTCTTACCAATGCAACAGAAATTTTAAAAATAAACCTCTTTCTCTTTAGGTTGTCCCTTCAGGAGTCACCACAGCCAATCATCTGTCTCCATTTAGTCCCGTCTTCTGCGTCCTCTACCTTCACACCAACTAGCTTCATGTCCTCTTTCACCACATCCACGAATCACCCTTTTTGGTCTTCCTCTCAGCCTGGTGGCTCCAACCTCAGCATCCTCCTACCCATATCATCTCCGTCTCTCCTCTGGACACGTCCACACCATGTCAGTCTGCCCTCTCTGACTTTATCTCCAAAACATCTAACACGAGTGGCCCGTCTGATGGACTCATTCCTGACTTTATCCAGCCTCGTCACTCCCAAAGAGAACCTCCAGCTCTACCTCCTGTCTTTTCATCATGGATCCCGTCTCTCACCGTCGTGCTGAACTCCTTTAATCCCACACACTTCTTCAACTCTTTTCTACACTGTCCACCATTTTGACCCTAAGTACTTAAAGTCCTATTTCTTCTTCACTTCTACTTCCTGTAACGCCACTGTCCCACTGTGTTCTCATCTTCACACTAATACTCTCCTCTGTAGTTCCTCTGCAGTGAGAGCAGGGTGGAGGACGTTCACAAACTCCTCTGCAAACATCACAGTCCATAGAGACTCCTGTCTATCATCAGCTGACCATCACCAAAGAAAACAAGACGGGGTTTGGAGCAGATCTTTGATGCACTCCCATGTCTCACACCTCTCATACATGTGCACCACTAACAATCTTCTCTGCCACTCCAGACCTCCTCAGGCATCACAGCTCCTCTCTCAAATGCTTTCCCTAAATCTACAAAGACGCACATTCTTCTGACCTCCTCTGTTCTTCTCCTTCAGCCTCCTTAAAGCAAAATTAGCATCTGACACTGTCAACCATGGCTTCCTTTTGTCCACACTCTCTAGCATGGGCATCACAGAGAAAGCACATACCTGGTTTGAAACGTACCTCACAGGACGATCATTCAGTGTATCTTGGCTTGGACAATCCTCTACAGTGCACCATCTTGCCACAGGAGTCCCCCAGGGCTCTGTACTAGGACCTCTTCTCTTTGCCATATACACCACCTCACTGGGTGAGATCATTCGATCACATGGCTTCTCCTACCACTGCTATGCAGACGACACCCAGCTCTATCTGTCAATTCCGCCGGACGACCACACTGTCTCTGCACGAATATCAAACTGTCTCTCTGACATATCAAAATGGATGAAATCTCACCATCTCCAACTCAACCTCTCTAAAACTGATCCCATCATCCCAGCAAAACCATCCATACAGCACAATATCTCAATCCAAAATGACTTCCCATCTCTGGCTCCTTCAAAGGCAGTTGGAAATCTGGGTGTTGTGATTGATGAACACCTGAGCTTTAAAGGTCATGTTGCCTTCGTTACTTCTCATGCATCGTTCAACAAATGTGGAATGACCTACCAAGCACTACCAGAACAGGGGCTTCCTTTTCAATTTTCAAGAAACTCCTGAAGACCCTGCTCTTCAGAGAGCATCTTCTTAACTAGCACCCTCCCTGCACCCATCCCCCCTCTCTACTGTCCACTCCTTGTTCTCTCCTCTCCATGATTGATGTCAAGTTGTTGTTAGCCTCAAGGGCAACATGCCGATTATCACTTGTAAGTCGCTTTGGACAAAAGCGTCTGCTAAATACATAAACATAAACATCTGTGGTAAACGTTCTTGGCATCAAACCGTTCTGCTGGTAACAAATGTTCACGTCTGACCCAACTCTAGCTTCCACCACTCTTTCCCAGAGCTTCACCTTATAAACTCATTAGCTTGGTTCTTCTGTAGTTCCTACAGTCCTGCAGGACATCTCTGTTGCCATGTTTTAATCACATAAAGTGCGATTATAAAAAAATGCCGCAGAAAATAATATTTAGACTTGAGTGGGTGAGTTGGGTCAGAAGGCACCATGGATGTAAATTTCTTTTTTTGGGGGGGGGGGGGGGGGGGGGGCAAGTTTTGACCCCTGCACTTTTTACCATTCAAAAACAATGTTAAGCTATGTTAAATTGACACTGGTTGAGCTTTAGGACCAAGCGGAAAACAACCGTTTATGTTGAAGCCTGTTTCCCATTAGAGCATACTGTAAAGATACCCCCCTCCCCCCGTACCCCCCCACCCCCCCTTCTAAAGTGAAAATTACGTCCATGGAGGGCACCACATAGGGCTCCTGGGGGCTCCAGGTCGGTGACCCCTGATCTAAATGAAACTAAAAATAAAAAGAGATAAAAGGAGAAAAAATAAGGGAAACTTAAAATGATGAATAGAAAAAAAAGAAAAAAAGAAAAGAAAAATGGAGAAAGGAAGGTAAAAACAACACAGACGGACAGAAACTACGTGATGCACCAAAACTCTCAGAAGCAACAATAAGGACGAGTTCTAAATAAGCCTGGCTTATTTTCCCATCAGCAGTTTTTCAGAATAAAAGTCGGCTGCATCAAAGCCGAAGTGTTTCATGCTGGTCTGCCGCGTGGGTTTGACCCTGAACACGAGTCAGCACTTGGCCTGAAACTGACCTGGAGGAGACGGTGAAGGTGAGCAGCATGAAGCTGAGCTGGATGGAAAAAACTGGAGGAAACAAAAACAGACCAAGGTTTAATAAACAGCTTTAATTGCTGATTCAGCTTTTATCTCCTATCTGCTTTCTGTGTGAAACCACAGGAAGTGATGCGGCTATGACATCACCCCTGTGGTTTGGCCTGTAGCTGATAAAACCACACTGGTTCTGTCTGATCCCATGTTTACGTAAAACCTCCATCTGCTCCCACAGCAGCTTTACTGACTGATGACGACGACCAGCAGCAGGCTGCCCAGGTCCAGCTCGATGTTGGGGTTGCTGAAGGTGTCGCAGAAGGTGGTGTAGATGATCATGAGCAGGACGGCGCTGCTGATGGCGCCGAAAGGCAGCTTCCTCCTCTCCAGGAACTCCCTGAGGAAACGACGACACACCTGCAAACAGATAGCACAAAACATGGAGGAAAACAGCCCGAACGGTAGTGTAGGACAGTGGTACTCAACCTTTTTTCACTGATGTACCCCCGTGAAATATTTTCTTCAGCCAAGTACCCCTAATCAGCGCAAAAACATTTTTGGTTGTAAAAAACAAGACCTTAAATAGGTGCCTTCAGTGACTGATTTATTAAACTTTGAAACTGATAAACAAGTACAAAATTCAACCATTTGGGAAAAAAAAAACTATTTTGAATATTTTAAATGTTAATACTCCATAGCTAAATGTATTGGAAATATTTTTCATCACTAAAATGTGATTCTAATTAATTAATTGAAAACAGTCACCATAAAACTATTTAAAACCATAAGATTACCCATTGAAAAATCCATAAATGTGCAAAACACTGCACATTTTTTGTAGTATCTCTTGAACTATTTGGAAAAAATATATATATAACTAGAAATATTAAAAAAAAAAAAAAATCAAATACAGGCCAAAGAAATGATTAAGCTAATTATAATTAAAGATTTGTGCTCATAAAAAGCATATCAACATAAAGTGTTATCCTTTGGGATCATAGTATATCTGTTCTCTAAAAGAAATCATCAACGTCATTTTAAATAACAATCGCTAAAAACAAATGTAAATCTCAAAATATATTTTTAAAAATCAAAAAGAAGACTGAAATCTTAACATTACTGCACTGATCGGAGTGTTTTTACAGACTTTTTAGTGAGACACTTGGGCTTGTGCTTCACTGAGGATCTTTTTCATCCTTGGTGGCAGGGAGGCAACTGCTGTGATCAAGCTCTTTTTTAGACACAGTCTGCTTCTCTGATGTACCCCCTGGAGTTTCTTTACGTACCCCCAGGGCTACGCGTACCCCCATTTGAGAAAGGCTGGTGTAGGAGGTGCTTGGAGTGCCGCGTACCTGACCCAGGATCAGAGGAACCACCACCGTCATGAAGAGCTGGGAGAAGATGGAGGAGAAGGGTACCGAGGAGGAGGAGCCCAACTGCAAGAGAGAGAGAGGAAGGCTTCACTTGGTTGGGAAGTATTAAACCATCTGTGTGTGTGTGTGCGCGCGTGCATGTGTGTGTGTGTGTGTGACTCACAAACAGCAGCAGCAGCAGGGGGGTCACCACGATTCCCTACAGAGAGAAACACACGTTAAAACTCCTGACTCCACGTCTGCTCCTAAACACATCCAGATCTCACCAGGAAGCTCCCAAACGCCGAGTTAAAGATGGCGGCGGCCTGCGCGCATGGAGAACAATCTGTCACCATGGTAACAAGTTCATTACTGTGGTCAAACTGTGGAACGCTGGGGAGAGCCTCACCTCGTTTCCTCCGACAGCTTTGGTGAGGATCACAGCCGAGGAGACTGGGGGGGGCATGCAGCTCACCGTCTGTAACCTAGGCAACAAGAGGACGAGTCGAGTCAGGCTGTTGCATCTGCTGATGGTCAACGGGACAGGGAGGAGACATAAAACTGTCGTTCCTTTGACGACGGTCCTACTGAACATAATAAATACATTAAGTCCAGCACGTTGTGGAGAACATCCTAAAACCAGATCTTATCCAGCAGCTCCTCCTTTAGCAGGAAGAGCAGCTGGAGACAACGTCCTGATCCGTCTCACGCTTCGTCTCACCTCCACGAAGACAACCCTCACCGCTCTGTGGGACCAGGACATGTTTTCATAACAAACATTGCAAGCTGAGATCAGCATAATGACGGGATTCTACTGAGGTCCCCATCATCTAGCTCTGGTGGAGCTGTGCTGAACACAGATCTGACTGTCCCAACTGGGCGGAAAACCACCGAACCTGATCCCAACCCGGAGTCCAGCAGCCGGAATGTCTGTTCCTAGAACTCTGGTGCTCAAACCCACAGAACAACCGTCAATGTGGCCCTTTGTGTGCCTCCCCCTCCCCATCCACCACACACACACACACACACACACACGTGTGTGTACCCTTTGAGCAGCCACGGGTCGATGCTGGTCAGCGCGAGCACCTGGAGCAGCAGCCACACAGCCACCGGGAAGAAGATCAGCGTGAAGGACTGGACGAAGAGGTGCAGGCGGACGTGAAGCAGTGCGCTCGTTAGCTCCTACCACACACACACACACACACACACAAATTCAGGGTTTCTAAGCTGCACCTGAAGGCATCAAAGAGACGTTCAGGGACCAGTTCCTCACCTCGGTCTTCAGCGACAGGCCACTGTTGAAGAAGATGAGTGAGACGGCGACATAGGCGATGGTGATCTCTGGCCTTAGAGGACCTGATGGACAGAGAGGAGGAGAACCAGTAACCATGGAAACAGCATAAAGCTGGAATAGTAATTTATACAGAACAAAAGCTTCACTCATGTTTTTAAACACGTTACAAAGATGTATTGTTAACTGATACAATAAGCTGCTAATTTATGATGTTATGGAAAAAATCTAAATATTTATAAAGATGTACGTAGACGGTCTAATACAAATATATTACATTTAGGGAGAGTTTAGGAAGCACATAGCTAAATAAATACTAAACAGCTGATTTCACCAAGCTAGGGCTGCACAATATATCGTAAATATATCGTTATCGCGATATCAGCAAGCACGATATGCATATCGCAAAGAGCAGATAAATATCGCAATGAATGGTCAGCTCAAATGCTTGCTACGCATAATTTATTCTGTCAAACAAACGGAAACATGATGTTTTTTTAAACAAATCAAATAGAGCTCTTCACCCATTTGGCCAATTGGGTGGGTTCTCATAGGTCAGATGCCCGCCCCTGAGGCGGACGGCACTTCATTTTGATGGTTAGTGAACACCTGAGTTAGCTTTGTTCTGCTCTTTCTGCTGATTCAGCTTTTCCCGGGATCCACTGATTGCATTTTCTTGTTCAATTTCTTTTCCCCTTTCCTCACATCTTTTGCTTTTTTCATTTGTATTAGTTTTTAATTTGTTTGATTTTGATTATTTTTGTTCCTGTGTTAAGTTTTTATTTATCGCAAGTAATATCGTCTTTGCAATATTAATCACTGTTATGGAATATCGCGGGTCTTCCTAATATCGTGCAGCCCTACACCAAGCCATGTTTTAGTATTTACTTCAGAACGGCCACATTTATACTTAGACTCTAACGTTTGGACTAGGGATGCAACGATACCACTTTTTTCCAAACCGATACGATACCGATACTTGGAACTGAGTACTCGCCGATACCGATTACCAATACCGATACTTCTACCATACAAAAAAGGCAATGATTTGGAATACAGATTTTTTTCTTCTCTGCACAGGAAAAGACTGTGAGGTTGATAAAAAGTAAAATATTAGGTGAACAGAAATGACAAGTTACAGGGAAGCCATTTTCAAGCAGCTGCTATGGTATCGGTTCCTGGTATCGTTTAACTTTTACCGATACTGATACTGGTATTGGCATCGTATTGGTGCCGATATCGGTATCGGTGCATCCCTAATTTGGACATGTTTTTACATTTGATCATCAATATTTAGGTTAAACCTTAATTATTTAGATTTTTACATTCATGTTCAGCATGAAATATTTAGTTTTACTTGTATTTAATACATTTTATTTAAAACATTCGAGATTGGCTACATTTATTACAGATGAACAAGTGAATTTCCCCACACTGGGATCAAGTCTATTCTATTCTAAATATTTGTTACAATTCATAAAGTTTCATTAAATCCTAAATATTTATATGTAAAATTATTCAGAAATGAATGCTGTAAAATAAAGCTGTTACTTCATTTTAACTTCAGCACCCCACACCTGATTTACGTCTGCTGACCTCAACATTCTGAGGCGCTAGTGAAGTTGAGTCTAACGAGGAGCCCCTGAAGGCACCATGCCAGCAGCAGCAGCGTTAGGTGATCTAATCTAATCTACAGGTGAGAGATGCCGCTAATCTGACAGCTCCGCGGAGCTACCGCTGTAATAAACTACTTTTCAGTTACTTCATGTGGAGTCTGAGCGGCTTTAGAAGGATTCAGGTGAATAAATACGTTTTATGAAGGGGTTTGTCGACTTTCCTGCTGAGTGCTACGTGTCCCTGACTCAGACAGGTATGAGGAACCCGCTACTTCCGACTCACACCAGCAGCTCCTCTGACTTTAGAGCGGTTTTAGTTTTCTTACTCATTCTCCTTTATTCTGAGTTTTTTCTGACCCTGTTGCTGTTAAACTAACCCGTAGCCAACAGAGCTGAACTTTAGAGGAGCTCCATCTCACCTCCTTTGACACCGACGCTGGGCATCAGTCTGGCCGACAGGATGACCACCAGGATCCCCACCATAAACCAGTCCTTCCGGAGCCTCCCCAGGAGGCCCATGGTTCCGCTCCACCGCCGGCCTCCCCGCCGGCCCTCCCGTCACAGCAGCCGGACTGAAGTTCCCACGACTCGGCCGCTTCTCTTCCTTCTCGGTGCTCTGTCAGAAAACACAAGCAGCACGGGAGGAGCAGTTACTTCCGGACACGTGAACGATGACGCTACCGTAATGACTAAACAGAGACGACGGAGAAATGATTATTTCCGTAATAAAGATAAAGACGCGCATTTTTAATTGTCAAACTCATTTTTACCAACAATAAATGATAAAATGTTGGTGTATCAATGCAAATAACAATTTTATTTTAATGAACACGAGTGTAAATAAAAATGTAAATCAATGACGAATGTAAACAAACTGAGCAACAGGAAAAAGATAAAAATAAAAACACAATTTAAAAAGTAAATAATAAAATAAAATTAATTTTTCTTTAGGCCAACTATCCACCTGGACGTTTAAAGTATAAATTTTTCACAAACATATAAACGTCTCAGATATAAGATAAAAAGCGAGTTTAAAAATAAAGGATTACTTTAAAAATGTGGCATACTGTAGATAATACTGGGGACACCTACAACGTGGTAAAACTGATTCATTAAAAAGTGAAAACAAACAACAACAGTATTAAGTCTTCTGGGAGCAGGTTTACAGTAATACCAGAAACACAAAGGAACCAGCATACAATTAGAAATGAAGCTTCCATATCAGAAACCCCAAAAAAACACTAAAACGTTTGACTTATCTGCATATTTTAAGGTATATTTGTAAATAAAATAAAAACATTCACCCTGTATTGCAGGAGAAAACTAAAGCTGGCTTGCTTTGTTCAGACCAGATGTTTGTATTTGTGGTTTCTGGACAGAAACTTTCCATCAGACTCCACCACAGCTGGATGGAAACCAGCTCGCTTTCTGCTCTTCAAAGAACGTCTAATAAAGTTTTACAGTCGGAGTGGAAATCAGTTTCCTGCACATCTGGGTTTGATTTGCTCTTTAAATCTGGTTTGTTTGTTCTTTTCTGGCTAATTAGCCTCAACAGCAATTTGTTCATTAACCAGACTGAGCTTTAAGAGAAAAGTGTGAATGAAACTATTATTTTCCACAAGAAGTTCCCACTAGAAACAACTAATAACTGAAGAACTGCAGCGGTAGCCTGTGGAACAGCGCTGAGGTGGTTTTCTAACTTCACCAACGTCCGTTTCATCCATCTAATAAACTCAGAAGACAGAGCAGTTAAACAAATGCAACAATAAATGAATTCTGTTTAGTTTCTCAAGCTTTCAGAGTTTTATTCTGAAACACCATCTCATCAGCTATAAAGGATAGCTATTTATCTGAACAGAGGCTCTTCTAGATGTTCTCTGGAACAAACAAGATCAGAATTATAACTTTAAATACTCAGGACTTGTCACTTGACAGCAGCAAAAACAGCATCTAACTTCTGCCACCCCCTAGTGGTCAGACACGATCCAGCCGGTCATTGTCGTGAGCTGCAGTTCCCTTATGAGCCACTAGATGGCACCCTTCACAAAAGACCTTGTAACTCTTCAGAAGTTCGTGGAATGTGCAGTGATGGATCTAGTAGAAGAATTTTATCTACAGATAAGAAGAAAAATAAAAAAGGAGGAGACGTAAACTTTATTTTAAAGGAAACAGAGCGAGGCAAAAAAAATGAAGAGAAGAAAATCCTAAATGAAAACTCCTCCTTTGGGCTTGAAGCCAGAACTTTTAAGCGTTCCATGAAGAGATTCATCATCAGGCTGCATGATCCCACTCACGTAGAGTCTTTATCTGTTCATCTCTGCTTTTATTAAGTAAGCAACACACACACAAATGCACATGCATGCATCCACATGCGTGTGCACACACACATGCACACACACACTCGCACACAGACATTCATGCACTCACACAAACACAAGCATGCATGTGCACACACACACACACACACACACACACACACACACACACACACACACACACACACACACACACACACACACACACACACACACACACACACACACGACTGCTCTACATATCTGCACCAACACTCAGAAACAACGATAACAAACTTCTTGCTGAAACAAATTTAGACGGTCAGTTATTCAGGGTCAAAGGTCAGCTGAAACAGCTGCTAGACAAGTATAATCTAGATTAAATTAAATTTGTTTAATTGACTTGAATAAAAATAAAATCTTGTCTAATTCCAGTAAAATTTTAACAAGATAGTCTGAAATATATTTTATTTGTAAAAAAAATCTATTTTCTTCAAACTTTAAGTGGATTTATGTTTGATTCATTGTTTGAACTAAAGAGAAAAAACACTAAAACATTCAGGGTTAAAGTTTTTTTTCTAATGTAAAACTATGTTTTATTTAGGATTTATTGAATACATGACGTAAATTTTGGTTCTAGCCGCAGATCGAATAAATTGTATTTCTAAATGAAACACTGAGATCATTTTGTTTAATCTATAGATAAAATAAATCTATAGATTTGTGATTAACATGAACTAAGTAACTAAATACATATGAACCTATGGTTCATATTTATTTCATTTAGAGTCAATTTTAAATCTGTTTATTTCACAAACAGTTTTAAAATAGATATTTTCCTTCTTTATTCTGAGTGAACTACATTCATTATTCCTTTCTAAAGATATTTTTACACATTTGGTTCAGAGTTTAAAACTATTTTACTCTGATGTTAAACCTGCAGCTGAGTTGTGATGGCTGCTGCTCTAATAACGCCCGTCTGTCAGCGACTAATAAAGTTAATCAGCTCAATCTCAACTAAATAGACTTCAGAAGGGAGACTTGGTGGGAGTCAGACAGTAAAAGTGTTGATGAGATGTTCCAGCTGAGGGAGGAGGAGGGAGGGAGGGAGGAGTGGGGGAGGCTGGGAGTACAGCTGATGGAGGAGAGACCTGATCAGTTTCGTGTCGGCTGACTAGAAGACACTCGTCTGTCTGATCTGAGGAGTCTGAAGGGATTGAATCGGAATAAAGAGGTGAGATCTGAACGTACTCTTCTGTTATCTTGATTATCTGTGACTGATTAGAAAATAATCTTTAATGTTGAGTTTGGGACGTCAGACCACACTCTTACCTTTGTTCCATGCTCTGACGAGCTACTGCTCATTCTTAGTCACACTTCTTCTCTCTGATGCTGTTTCACTCTCCAGGATTTTACTGTTTAGCTTGATGCACGACAGAAAATAAAGATCAGCATTCATCAAGTCAGAAATCTAGAGAAAAAAACATCACATCCTTTAATTTTGTAGTTTTTTTTACTAAAATCTCAACTGTAAACACAAAAAAGTTATTAACAAACTTTATTTTTTAATTAAATCTAAAAAATGTAAAAGCTTGACTTTTATGTACAAACCCTAAATGTAATTATTTATTTTTTAATAATATTTAGCATGAAGAACATCAAGACTCAGTTCATTTAATTAGTTAAAAATGTGAAAAATGTTGAGAAACAAACTGATTTGATGATTAAAACGTATTATGAAGTTAATAAAACTGTAAAGTATTCATGTTTACGATTTTAAATATTCACCTAACATTTAGACTTAATTTGAATATCTTACGTTCTTTGTTAAAGAGCAAGTCACCCCCTACCAGTCTTACTCCACTCCCACTTCATGTTTGAAAAAATGCAACAAATGCTGTTGCCTGGCAGACCAAGAGGGCGGAGCCACTAACAAAATACACACAGGCTCACAACGACATTGTGACATCATAACGTACCATCTAATGTCATTGTGTACTTCTTAGCCAATAGCGACGGCCGATTTAAATTCAAATGTAGTGCAGAGTTTTTACCTGACGACGGCACAACGCTGACAGTTTTAGGCAGAATATTTAAATTTTAACTAAAATGCTCTAAAGTGCCAAATTATTGACTACACGTGTCTGCAGCACGATTAGACATTCATTTGTATAGTTAATCAGCAAAAAATACTTGGTTTGGGGGTGACTTGCTCTTTAAGTTCAGACCGAACCGTGCTCTACTGAGTGACGGTCCTGTGGAAACGTCAGTAATCACATCCTTCTGCAAACAGCTGTTATATAAAAATGGTGAAAAATTATAAACTGAGTAGAATATTCTGCGGTTTAATCCCAGCAGGATAATCTGTAGGAAACACAGAGAACCCAGTCCCAGCAGAGGTTTGTGTGTGTGTGTGAGTCACAGCTGTCTAAACGTTTGTTCGGAGGGTCGCGTGTTTGACGTGTTTGAGGCTGAACTGCTGGTGAGAAGGTAAACATTTGTTATTGACAGCAGGAGGTTTTTCCCGTTGGTGAATCTCCTCTGGAGATGGAGCAAAGCTCATCCTCTCCTAGCTGCTGACTCGATGCAGTACTCTAGTTATGGCGACACAAACACCTTAACGTGAATGTAAAAGTACAATAAACAGTAAATAAAAACAATTTCATTTACGCTCATTTCTGTTAAAATAACAGCTCTTTTTTTTACAGTGTACCTTTCTGTTTGTAACTGTGGTGTTGGTTTTCTCTCCAGAGTTTCTTCATCTGATAACTGAAACCCACCCAGACCCACTCGCCAGGTTCTCTACTGGTTCTGGAAGCACATACTGGTTCTGTAAAGCGTTTACACCAGTGGATTCTGGACTTGAACCAAGATGGTTTCTGGAGCCTCCCCAGTGGTCGTGAGCTCCTGGATGCAGAGTCGTCCCACCTTGCTGCTGTCTGTCTGCTGCCTCCTGTCTGTGTCTCCTGTCTCCTCCCAGAGTAACATCACGTCTCACCCATCAGACCTGCGGACGTCTGACTTCTTCAGCACCGACCGACCCCCCCTACTGGTGGACGGCCGTCACGCGTCCAACACAAAACCCCAGATCTCCCAGGAGACGGTGAACGAACCGTTGACGTCTCTGGACTCAGAGCCAGAGAAGCTGAAGTCTTTGACCAAACTGAAACACAAACATGACAGGAAGCCGGCGCCTCCCTCCAACTCCTCCTTAATTCCCCACAGAAACACCTTCTCCCCCCCCTCCTGCCTGCAGACGACGTCCATAAAGATCATTTTTAAGTACATCAACACGGTTCTGTCCTGCCTGATCTTTGCTGTGGGAATCATCGGCAACGCCACTCTGCTGAGGATAATCTACCAAAATAAAAGCATGAGAAATGGTCCCAACGCCCTGATCGCCAGCCTGGCCCTGGGAGACCTGGTCTACATTGCCATAGACATTCCCATCAACGTCTACAAGGTACAGCCATCCACCTCTAACCAGTTAATGGCGACCGTGGTTGGTGTGGTACAGACTACTTCCTGGGTGATGCTCTGCTGAGTGTCTCAGCCAGGAGGTCGAGTGTTTTCCTGATAAAACAGAAATACCTCTCTGAGTGTGATAACTCCGTGCTATCATCGTGGTTTTCTGCCTGCAGCTCCTGGCGATGCAGTGGCCGTTTGCAGACAGCGTGTTTGGACTCTTCCTCTGCAAGCTCTTCCCTTTCCTGCAGAAAGCTTCGGTCGGCATCACCGTCCTCAACCTGTGTGCTCTCAGCGTGGACAGGTGACACACGGACACACTCCCGAGCACTCCTGCTAACCAGCTCCATCACAGCAGCGTGCCCAACTCATCTTTACTTCAGTAGAACGCCGTAAAACCGGGGAATGGTTTCAGTTTACTGTTTGGTGGACAGACTCGTGAATCTCCTTGATGTGATGAGATCTGAAAGCTGCTTCGTAGTAAACGTTTAACCAGAAGCATCTGCGACACAACGTGGATCAGATGTGTGTGTGTGTGTGTGTCTGGGGCTGGTTGGGTTCAGGCCCACACTGAATACAAATGCAAATTTGTAGCATGAGGCATCAAATCAAGGCCATTCTCTCCTGATTATCTCTAGATTGCTGCCACATGTTGGTAAATAATTTATAAATATAAAACCATCTGATCACTGGAGGACAAGACCAGACAGGACAGCTTTACTTGTACACAAAAGGAAACTCAACAAGATAAGGCGTTCCCTGGCTCGCCGAGAGACACGGTCCCTCCGTCGTGTCCTGGGTCTTCCTTTAGGCCTCCTCCTGGTTGAATGAGCCCAGAAAATCTCTCACCAGGGAGGCGTCCTAAAAAGATGCCCGAGCCTCCTCAACTGGCTCCTCTTGATGTGGAGGAGCAGCGAATCTACTCCAAGCCCCTCCCAGATGACCGAGCTTCTCACCCTATCTCTAAGGGAGAGCCCAGCCACTCTGTGGAGAAAACTCATTTCGGCCGCTTGTATCCGCGATCTCGTTCTTTCGGTCACTGCCCAAAGCTCGTGACCATGGGTGAGGGTAGGAACGTAGATCGACCGGTAAATCGAGAGCTTCGCCTTCTGACTCGGCTCTCTCTCCACCACGAGACCGGTACAACGCCCACATCACTGCAGACGCAGTACCAATCCGCCTGTCGATCTCACGCCCCATATTTTCCTCACTGGTGAACAAGACCCCGAGATACAAACTTTGTCCTCTACTCGGGGCAGCAGTAGCTCAGGTGGTAGAGCGGGTTGCCTCGTGATCGGAGGGTCATGGGTTCGATTCCAGCTCCCGCCAGGGGTATCCTGCTGTCGTGTCCTTGGGCAAGACACTTCACCCGACTTGCCTGTGTTAGTGGTGGTCAGAGTGGCGGACGGCGCCAAATGGCAGCCTCGCCTCCGTCAGACCTCCCCAGGGCGGCTGTGGCTACAAGTAGCTTACCATCACTAGCAGTGTGTGAATGTGAGAGTGTGTGAAAGCGTCTTTGGGTGTCTAGAAAAGCGCTATATAAGTTCAAGACCTCATCCCTGACCCGGAGAAGGCATTCTACCCTTTTCCGACTCCAGACCATGGTCTCGGAAGTCATGAACAGAATCAGTGGTAGAGGGCAGCCTTGGCAGAGTCCAACTCTCACTCTCCCACTGCTGCCCCCGATGGTCCTGCTCGAGCAGTTCCACTTTTTTCCATCACAGTCCCAGACTTCGCTTCCTTTTGTGACCCACTGGTGTTGCACTCTAAACCCTCCAGGCGAAACACATAGCTAGCTAAAAGAAATACCTATTGCTACGAGAACAAGCCCAACTTACCGCTCACAATGCAGACAAAGCTCTGACACCGGTTACACAAGAGACCCACCAGCCCATGTCGAAGACTAAAGCCCCATCAGTTGTCTGATGCGCGGTGAAGTTTGGCCTCCGCAGTTGACCGTCCCCACGGGGAGCGGTGAGCTGCAGACGCGGTCGCGCTTGGGAACCAAAGCCAACCCCTTAAAGCTAAGCGTTAGGCAGGGAGGCTTTGGGTCCCATTTTTAAGGTCTTTGGTATGAGTCAACCCTGATTTGAACCTTGACCTCCCAGTCCCAGGGCGGACACTCATACCACCAGGACAAGAGCCTGGTACCCCATACTCTCGGAGTACCCCCCCACAGTTGTTTTTTTTCCCTTCAGACTAGAACACCATTCTCTCTAAGGAGACGGGGAACGTTTCGTGCTGACTGTCATTAACATTGTTGCCAACTGAGAACCAACCAGCTTTGATCTTACAGTGACATCATCATCAGCAGGTGTTTTATGCATCATTTAAACGTTGCTAGGGTAACACGGTGACACCGCTGTTTGCAGGTATCGTGCTGTGGCGTCCTGGTCACGAGTACAGGGTACTGGTGTTCCCACGGTAACGGCGGTGGAGATCGTACTGATCTGGCTGTTCTCCGTCGTCCTGGCTGTGCCGGAGGCCGTCGGCTTCAACATGGTCACCTTCGAGTACAAGAACATCACCATGAAGACGTGCATGCTGCAGCCGATGTCATCCTTCATGACTGTGAGTGTGTGTGTGTGTGTGTAGACTCACACCACCTGCCTGTGAACCTGTGTGGGAGTTGTTTATGTGTGTGTGGTCTCCATGGGGTGTTGGCACATGTCTGATGCTTTAGACGAGTTCTGGCTGCAGCTTTAGTCCAAGTTCTCTTGTAGAAACACGTTTCTGGTGCAAAGTCTTCTGTTGCTGCTGGAGGAAACCAAGACTTTCTTAGAAGATCTGGAGATTTGTTATATTTCACATTCTACTTTCCCAGATAAACCCTAACTACACCTTTTATTACCTTATGAAAAAAAAATCCACCAGATCAGATCAGATGGTTTGGAAAATCATTTCCTGTTTTAGTTTCTGGATCAAGACCAAATGAATCAGCCCAGGCTCTCGCGTCCGACCTCAGGTCAGCTGTTCGGTCCTTAACCAGTTGGTGTTCCGATGGTTTCCAGTTCTACCGAGATGCGAAGGACTGGTGGCTGTTTGGGTTCTACTTCTGCGTCCCTCTGGCCTGTTCGGCGCTGTTCTACAGCCTGATGACCTGCGAGATGCTCCGACACCAGAAGGGAAGTCTGAGGATCTCGCTGAGCGAGCACCTGAAACAGGTGAAAGAGAGAGAGAGAGAGGTTACTGTGATGAATCATAAACACAGCTGATAAAACTAGTTTTCCTGTTTCAGCGGCGTGAAGTAGCCAAGGCGGTGTTCTGCCTGGTGGTGATCTTCGCTCTCTGCTGGTTTCCGCTCCACCTGAGTCGCCTGCTGAAGAGAACCGTTTACAAATCCCACGACGCTCACCGCTGTGAGCTCCTGAAGTAGGTGCAGAAACACCAAAGAAACCGTCGTTGTGTCACGGTGCCTTTAATTTGACAGGATCCCCTCTGGTTGCAGCTTCCTGTTGGTGCTCGACTACTTCAGCATCAACATGGCGACCATCAACTCCTGCATCAATCCCATCGTCCTCTTCTTCGTGTCCAAGAAGTTCAAGAACTGCTTCAAGGTAAAACTTTTCCCACAGTGACATCACGGTGAGGTCAGAGGTCGTGAGACGCAGACGGATGTTTAGAGGTTCTGGTTTATCTGGAGGACAGCAGGGGGAGGACTCACAGAGAGGTCGTGACCTTTGATAAACGTCTTTGTGGGAAACAGATGGATTAAAGGAGCATGTTAAGACAGATGTGTGAGAAAATAAAACCACATTTTCTGTTTGACTCTTCATTACAAGGTGAAGGGAGCTAATTTTACATGAGGTGTAAAACTAGGAGCAGATGTTTGGTTTTAAATGAGAGAACAGCTGCACCGTCAACCCGAACAACGACTAAAGGCTGAATGAGACGTTTTATCGTTAGTTTCTGGTATTTCCCTAAATGTTAAACATCTAATGAGACTTCATCTAAACGATAATCCAAAACATGAAACCACCGAACACAGGAAGTCACTGATTCTCTCACACGCTGTGAAATGTCATCTCGGCCTTGAAGCTTTTTACAGGTCAAAGGTCAAACAGCCTGGTTCCAGGAAGTGGAGTTCTCATGAATAACGATAATGTCACAAATACCAGAGCCTGAATGAAAGATCAATGTAAAGTTAGAGGAAGTTATTTTAATAGTGAGTTAAATAATTTACTCCAAACCCAAAACATACTGCATCTGCAAACTCCAGAGGGATGATCATGAATCCAGGAATTACACCGCACCGATGCACCTGCTGCTTATTGGTCCCTATTGGTCAGCTGTTCTCCTGCTCCGACACACCTGATTACACCACAGCTCCAGCAGCTCTTCACTCACTGATCCAAACCAGGTGTGGTGGAGCAGTAGACATGCAGGTAGACCCCTCTAGGGTCTGGGGTGGGGGGGTGATGATGTTCAGGCTCTTGTGAAAGCTGTGGGGGGGGCTCCTTTAACCTCCTGTCCCTGTCTCCTTGTGTCTCTGCAGTCCTGTCTCTGTTGCTGCTGTTACTCTGGCTCTCTCTCCAACAGCATGCTGCCCCTCCACCACGGGACGAGTCACTGACCAGTGAGGGGGGACACCACCCAGAGGCAGCATCAGGGTGGGGGTGGGCGTAGGAGGATGTTTTTGTACCTTTGCATATTTATTATCACGTTTTCTACTTAACTCGTTAAGCTGAACTTTTCATGGACAAATCAATGAAACTAGCTGTAACGGTGCTACAGCGCCATCTAGCGGCCGCTTCTGTAACAACGGCAATTTGAGTTTTATTTTTCACCTTTTCGTTCTTTATTTATGTGATTAAATATACACACTAATGCTACATGTGAGCTGTTAATGACGCAGAGTCTTTTTGTTAGTGCTTTTTATCATTTTAAGAAGTTATTTATAAAAATAAACCACATGAAATCTTCTGTTTTGTTAGATTATTATTTACAGGTTTACACAAATGGAACCTTTTTATCATCTTTGTGCATTTAAGGATCCAACTAAAGTCTCTGTGTTGTCTTTAAATCGTTACTAACTGATATAAATGTTATTATTTTATCATGTTAATTACTTGTGTTATGAAATAGAAAGTTATTCATTATTTTATTATATCTCAAATAAAGTTTTTAGGTAAGTCTGTTTTTTATCTCTTTGTGTCTGAATTTATTTTGTCCAAATGCAGAAATCATCATATAATAAATGAGAATAAATAATTCTGCTTTTCCCCCTTTGTAAATAAAATGTCGATATTATTCGTTCTTGCGCTTGTTTTAAAATAAGAATAAGCTAAAACATTAATACAGTATAAATGGGCATTATTCTCATTTAAATCCAGGCTTTTTAAAAAACATTTTAACCCCAAATTAGAATATATCAGCTATAAATAATTATGTTATTTGAATGTAATTTAATTAGAAGTAACTTAAAACGTATTTTTAATAAATTAAATCCTTTAGTCATAAAAAAAGTCGATTATAATCGTAATAGTCAGTCAGCATAGCGGCTGCTGCTCGTGTCACGTGATCGAGGTCGTCGCGGACGTTCCTCCCGATGACGTCAGCCCGTACCGCTGCTCAGGCGGAGACCGATGGAGGAGACCCGCTGCTGCTCTGCGGCTCCAGAGAGGCCGCGGCTCCGTGGATCATCGATCAACGACCAGAGGGACTTTTACCAGCACGAACCCGAACAGCTGCGGGTCGGTTAACGGTTCCGGCGGGCGGAGGGATGCGTTGCCTGGTAACAAAAACCGGACGGAGGCTGGGAGCAGGCCGAGCATCATCAGAGTAAACATCCTCCTGGTCCTCCTCCAGCAACATGAGTTCACCTCCAGCTGATTCATCTGATCGGATTTCATGATTTCACTAAATATTTTTCATTCTTTAATTCTGAAAACCCTCCTGGTGAGTTTTCGTAGATTTTTATTCTCCTTTATGATGAAACTAGAACTCAGGCTGCTGTGGTTTATTGTTTCAGTGGTTCAAATGTTCATCCACGCGTGCTTGCTCGGGAAATAGTTTGTATTCATGCTGAAGTCAAAAAGTGTGCCTAGACTAAAACAACGAGCATCATGTTTTTTAAATTGAAGTTCTAAAACCAGTAAAACCAAAAACTCTCAATTTTGTCCAGAGATTGTGGGTTTGAGGCCAATACCGATTCTTCTACATTCTGATGTATTTAGAGAAAATGATGATTCAGTTAAAAAATACAAATAAAAACATAGAAGATCTGTTATGCTCGCATGAATTAGCATGTAGCAATGACGCATCCACAACCTTGAAAAATGATCAGAATAAAAAGTGTAAGATTTCTGATTAGGCTGAGATTTAATGTTGGAAAAAAAATCACAGTCACCATTTATTTACCTTTTTACTACTTTAAGTCAAAATTCTGAGGAAAATGTCTGTTCAGTAACAACACCCTGCATGTTGTTTAAACATTAAAGTTGGTTTGTATTTTTCAGCAGAGTGACGCCCCACACCTGACCACTGCCTCACAGCTGTAGGATGTGCCTGTAAGTCCGTGCTCAGGGTAAACAGACATCATGCCCTGTACCTGTGCAGAATGGAGGAGGTGGATCCGCCCTCTGGTTCTGGTTCTGTATGCTTTCCTGCTGGTAGCCGTGGTGCCGCTGTGCATCTGGGAGCTGCAGAAAGACAAGGTCAGTCTCCACCTCCACCTGGGCTCTGCTGGCAGACCAAACCCGACCCATTCAGCCAGTTTTACTTAAATCTGGTTCTGTCTCTCAGGTCGGGACTCACGGTAAAGCCTGGTTCATCGCTGGTGTGTTCGTGTTCCTCACTATCCCCATCTCTCTGTGGGGGATTCTGCAGCACATGGTCCACTACACCCAGCCGGAGCTGCAGAAGCCCATCATCAGGTAACACACACCTTCATCCAGACGGTTCCTCTGCCTCTGACCAGCCTCCAAAGATGCCTGGCATTATGGATCTGATCCAAGTCAAGCCAGACCCCCTCCCTAACCCTTACCCGCATACAAACATTAAAAGTGATTCATTACAAACGTTATCCAGACAAACAGAATTATAACGCCTGTGCAGATTTTGGATGGGGTGTGTTATTGGGGCTTTATCAGCACAGACTATATTATGGGGACCCTGACGGGGCCATGGACCAAAACTGGGATGCACTGATCTACTTAGTGATCTGCCGATCTGATTTCTTTTTTTTTCATAAATGCATCTTTTCCAAATGACAAAAAGTTTATGGCAAAACTTCATATTTTAAGGTGACAAACAGTTTGTTTAAGGGACAGAAACAACTTTATTTACCCAGGCATCTCAAGCATCTATTAAAACAAAATCATGCCAGGATCCATGATCGGCTACTCTGGCCTTCCTCGGACTCACACAGATCTGATCTGTCCGCTTGGAAATCTACAAATAATGAAGAAAATAAAAAAACAACTATTTTCTGTCTCTTTTTGACCATCTTCAACCCAAAATGCTTCAGAGTTCAAATCAAAACTTAAACATAAATGATTAAAACGTATCTTTGGGAACTTTGATAAAGTTTCTTCAGATCTTCGTGCAGCTGAAAGGTGAAGAGTTCATGGGAAATAAAACTACATAACTCTGCTGCTTGTTTTGGCTTCAGGATCCTGTGGATGGTGCCGATCTACAGTTTGGATAGTGTGAGTCTCACACACACGCACACACGCGCACACATACACGCACACACTCGCATTGCTATAGCAACATGATTTCATAACAGGATCGTGTCACCTGGGACACGCCGACCCTAACCAATCTCCAGTTTAGCTCACTCAGATCAGTTATTCTGTGATTGATTGATCACGCCTGATGAGTGAAACTCCTCGTCTCTCTCTGATTAGTGGCTCGCTCTGCGGTACCCCAACATGGCCATCTACGTGGACACCTGCAGGGAGTGCTACGAGGCCTACGTCATCTACAACTTCCTGGTGTTCCTGCTGAACTTTCTCAGTAACCAGTACCCCAGCCTGGTCCTGATGCTGGAGGTCCAGCAGCAGCAGATGCACCTGCCGCCGCTGTGCTGCTGCCCGCCGTGGCCGATGGGAGAGTAAGAGAAGGGGTCAGCGTGGGGTCATGGGGTGTGGCGGTGGGAGGGGGCAGGACTGTGTTCATGTTTCTGTTGTCCATCAGGGTGCTGCTGTTCAGGTGCAAGCTGGGAGTTCTCCAGTACACCGTGGTCCGGCCCGTCACCACGGTGATAGCGCTGTAAGTCCAGACTCCCCACTCATTCTGATCGAGAGTTCTTCTTTCTGAAGAGGTTTTAGAAGGTTTGCTGGAATTTTGATGTTAATTTTGAATTGAATTTCTTTTGTTATGTGAAAAGGTGGCTTAGCTCAAGGGGTGCGCCAGTGAGCGGGGCGGTGGTTCCTCTGGGGTTTTGATACGTTTTTGTGTGTTTCTGCAGCATCTGTCAGCTCTGTGGCGTCTATGATGAAGCCAACTTCAGCTTCAGAAGCGCCTGGTCCTACTTGGTGATCATCAACAACATCTCACAGCTGGTGAGGACACCTCACATGTTACTTGTGCTGGGACAGGAGACAGGTGGGATGCTTGCCCTAGCTCAGGAGACGGGTTTGACTGGAGGAGTGGAAATAGGAAATAGAACACTTCCTGGTGGCCTTCGTTTTTCCAGGTACTGGTGTAGAACTCTGGGTCAGTCTGAGATCACTAATCTGAGGGATTATATGTCTTCTCTGTCCTGGGACTGCTTTGGGATCCGCCTGGATGGGCTGGAGAGTGTTGCTAGGGAGATAGAGAGCTGGAGTTCCCTCCTGGACATGTGACCTCACTGACACAACTTTGGATGGGCAGAAGATGGATGTGTTGGTTGTTCGGTTAGCTGGACGGCTGGAATTTGATAGACGAATGATAAATGATTAATACATTCTTGGGTAGCTGGTTGGTTGAAGGCCATTGGGAGGTTGATGGATGGATGATAAATGGTTGCTATGGAAAGCCAACACTAAAGGTCCTGATCATCTCATTTAACGGTAGACTTCTGTGTCCATGTCTCTGTCTCCAGTTTGCCATGTACTGCCTGGTGTTGCTCTACCGCGCTCTCAGAGATGAGCTGAAACCCATCCGACCCGTTGGGAAGTTCCTCTGCGTCAAACTGGTTGTGTTTGTGTCGTTCTGGTAGGACCGGAAACCCGACTGGTCTCATCTGCTGCTTTAGTGTTTGATGTAACTTTGTGACAGTCGGTGTGTGTGGCTGTTTGTCTGCAGGCAGGCTGTTTTAATCGCCGTCCTGGTGAAAGTAGGTGTGATATCGGACAGACACACCTGGGACTGGGACAGCGTGAAGGCCGTGGCTACAGGACTACAGGTCAACACAAACAGTCACGTCTTTATACCAACGTGGTTTTGGGGGCTAACATCTAAATATTACTGATTTACAGGACTTCATCATCTGCATAGAAATGTTCCTGGCTGCTATCGCTCATCACTACACCTTCACCTATAAACCCTACGTACAGGTACCTGTCTGTCTGTCTGTCTACCTGTCTGTCTATCCGGGGGTTTCCTGATCTTCTGTTCCTTTAGGAAGCAGAGGAGGGCTCGTGTTTCGACAGTTTCTTAGCGATGTGGGATTTCTCAGATATCCGAGCCGATGTCACCGAGCAGGTTCGGAACGTTGGTGAGTTTCAGGCTCAAATTTTTAGATTTCTTTCGGTTTAATTGAGACTAAATGTCTTAACTAACTCCTCCTCTTCAGGTCGGACGTTCCTGGGTCGTCCCAACAAGATGTACTTTGGAGCCGCTGCTCGACCTGAACACACAGAGCACACCGGCCTCCTGAACTCCACTTCGCAGGATCCAGTTGCTGCGGCAACGACCTCTATGCCTGCCTCTCCCTCTGCAACTGGGTGGTATCAAGGCCTCGGCCACACCCCTGCCCCTCACTCTATCTCCGCCCCCGCAGGGTTCACGACCTCGTCCTGGGAGGATGACAGTGACAGCTCGCCCTCACCGCCGGGACACTAAAGAGACAGGAAACAGAACTCTAAACGCGTATCATTGTAAACTCTGATGTCAAAGCCATATTTGTGCTGAATCTGGTGTTTTAAAAAAGATGAAAATAGCTCAGATTTTAGTGTTTGAAGTCTGGCTTTTACTGTCCGATTGTGTAGTTTTGATAAATGTTGCAGGTGGAGCAGGTGGTTGTGAAGTGTCCTTCGGGTGGCTTTAACCGTGTGTCTCCACTCACAATGAAAACAAGATGTCATGTTTAATCTGCAGAAACTGCTTCAGTTCCTAAAAGACGGTTTAAAGGTGTGGAACACTTGTTTAATCAATACATTATAAGTGATCTCTGGTAGGAATGAATGCCTTGCAAGCTGTACTCGGGGTAAGAAAGCCCATAAGCGCATGGAGTCTGCTGTGGCAGGGAGCACAAACATCATTCAGGGAGCCTAAAGCTTGGTTTATGCTTGACGCGTCCACAAGGTCTGCACGGCTCCGCGCGGCAAAATTGTGTCATTTTAACAACCACGCCCCTCCACCGCGCCTCCGCACGGCCAAAACTTTCCGCACCTCGCACTTAGGAAATTTTCTAACCACACGGACGGTCGGACGCGGAAAAACATGGCAGACCGGCAAGAACTAGTATGGCAGAGGTTCGTAAATACAGACATTTGTATGATTCAGCTCTCAAAAATCACCGTGATCAACATGTTAATAATTCTTGGAGAGAAATAGCTCGCACTGTCGGAAAAGATGAGGACACTGTTAAAAATGCTGGAATGCCATGTTGTAAACAGTAATTTCTACTTCTACTATGGTGTAGTGTTGGATGCATGCCGTAGAGCTCCATGCTGCCCCCTACAGTTTGGGAGAATATTGGCTCACCGCAGAGACGAGCCGCATGAACCATAAACGCTGCGAGTTGTGAAGCGCGTTCCATCCGCGAGCCGCATCACCAAGCGGAAAGTAAATGCATCAAGCATAAACCAAGCTTTAGTCCCCTCCCTTCCCGGTCGGATCACGGGTCCCCGGAAGAACGAAAAACTGAATGCAAGTCAACGGGGCTAAAATCGTTATTTTCTAATCCGCTTTGCCTTACGCCCTGGATCGCACATATGTTGTACTGTGTCAAGTTTGGTGGCAGAGCTGAAGCGTGGCTGAGAAGGTCTGTTGCCCAGACGCGGAGTGGTGGAGATAAACAGCGCGGTTATATCCTTTAGGTTAGGTTTGAAGGCGGGTAAGCCTGAGAACTCGATTCAAAGTCTGGTGAGAACGATGACAGAGTAATGAATGAAACGCCGGCACTTCCGTTTATAGTGATGGCGTGATGACGTCGACGGCCACGTTGGTGGCGAGAATGCTGGGAAATGGAGTCAGCTGGAGGAGTTCGTGACATACTGCAACTGAAATGAAAAGTAATGATGGTGATTCGACCACGCCAGTCACGTACTTTGAGATTTATCAGCTTGTACAAGTTTGTAATTAGCATGACTACACAATAGAAATCGCATATGTGACATCACCACACAATCTCCCCCAGTGCAGCTGCTACTTACCAAATGCCCAGGTTTTTGGGGGTTCTTTCCTCCTGAGGGAAGGATTTTAGGGTTTGCTAAATTTACAGCCATTTTCCCTGTTTCTTTCCGTGTCTGGTTCAATGACGTCACTTTGGTAACGCACATTTGTAATCTTGGCCTTTTTTTCCACACAAAACCTAAAGTCAAGTTTCCCCCTGTTCAAAAATAAGCGCGTTCTTGGTATCAACATGTGTCTTTAAAATTCACGGACGTCATGTGTGAAACCCACAAGCGGACTTAGAAAATGCGTTTTTAGCCCCGTTGATTTGCATTCATTTTTTCGTTCCTCCGGGAACCCATGATGCGGAAGTAGATGGGTGTGACTTAGGCTCCCTATACGTAGACTCCCCGTGGACTGGTGCTGGCGTAGCAGTGAGCTGCCATCTTGGATGGGTCTGTATTCGCCAAAGCGCATTTATTTCTGCTGAGGAACATGTTTACTCAACTAATAAACACATTTAGTTAAGCTTTTTCACAAAATCAGACATATAGTATAAAGTTAAAGTTCCATTAGTCTTCATCACATATTGGTGTAATTACATCTCTGCATTTGACCCATCCCTGTGGGGAGTAGTGTGGCACGATAGTTAAAATATTAATACAATTAAAATAAATGAAAATCCAAAATTCCAGCAGGTAGGTTAGAATAATCAAAATCAATGTGATAATTTTCAAGAGTGCACTGGTTGTTGCACCCATAAGCTGCACAAAAAACGAGCAAAGTATGGAGCGTGAGGAACCCATCCAATATGGCGCTGTTACGCTCTTCAGTGCCCAATGGCAGGTCTACATTATTCATGTCTAAGGCAGAGAGTGACCCAACATGACAGGCTTTGGAGTCCTGTTCCCTGAGATTTGGGCATCTCGCCTCTGATTGGCTAACAGCAACACGACAATAATACAAGTCTGGAGGAATTCTGCTGTGAGGTGGAGTTGCTAATGCTAACAGTAAACTTCTACTAGCCGAGATGTTCTCTGATGTTTCCTGGACGTTAAACCAACAACAGCCAAGCCAAGATGGGCGAGTCCTTGTTTGTTAAGTGACAGTGTGACGTAGTTCTGTAAGGATTTTCTACTCCTAAAGTTTCACCGTCTATTTTCTATCAGAAGCTAATGCAGGAAATAGGTGTAGGAGACTATTTTCATGTTTAGGCCTGCATGAAAAACTCAGAGTTACTGATTATAATCAGGAATAATAATTTTATAATTGGTTTTAAGAGTTCCACACTTTTAATCATTTTAAAATGCTCAACGTTTTGTTTCTGTTGTCTTTACCTAAAAAAAATTAATGTTTCAAATCAAACATGTTTGCTTCCTTTTCCAGCCGTCCCATAACAGTGTACAGAAATCAAACATAACTTTCAATCTTTAGGATGAAAAATCAGAAATAGAAAGTGTAACATTTGCATTTAAAACATGACAGTATAAGAACCTGATAATGCTGAAAAGATTATAACTGATCTAAAAGTCAACCTGTAAACAGAATGAAATTCCACTTATGTGCAGAAAGACTGAAAAAAACCCTGCTGTTTATTTAAAACAAACTTTCCCTGAATTAATGCCTCTGTTTTATTCTCACTGAATGTAAATATTTTTAATAATCTGTGAGAATAACAGATGTTTGACTGCTTTGAACACGAGTTTCTATCAGGAAGTAGGCATTGGGGCGCATTTGAGGCTACTGTTTCGCTTTTAATGTTTCTTTTTTAGTCCGACCACAGAAAGAGAATTTAAACCGTAACCAGAAGTCAGTGAACCGCCTGCTGACAGGAGTTTGCTTCTCGGATCTTTACAGGCTGATTTAAAGCTGAAAGGCGGTTTTTGGTGAACCTGAGTTTATCCGTCTGTTCTGATGCTACTGAGTAAATGTTGTTTTGGAGAAATACTTATGAAACTTAACTTAAAATCCAGGCTGAATAATGAATAAAAATATTTGATATCAGGCTTGTAATGAATTCAAATAATCTTGTTTATTGAAGATTTTACCTTTTTCAGGCCTCTCAGGATCACTGACGATCACTACTGATTCTATCCACTAGGTGGCGCCAAAATACAGAAAGCCAGTCGACAGGGTGGGGGAAGTGAGGTCCCGGGCAGGATTCGATCCCCAGACTCCCCGGTGAGAGTCATGCGGGCTAACCAGTCAGCCAAAGGGACATCCTCTTGACCAAGCAGCCAGGGCGCATGATCAATCGGGATACAGTGACAGGACTCTCACACTGTCACACCTACACCGTCTGTTTTTCCCACTTTTTCCTTGCTGCTGCTACATACAGGTCCTTCTCAAAAAATTAGCATATTGTGATAAAGTTCATTATTTTCTGTAATGTACTGATAAACATTAGACTTTCATACATATTAGATTCATTACACACAACTGAACTAGTTCAAGCCTTTTGTTGTTTCTAATATTGATGATTTTGGCATACAACTCATGAAAACCCAAAATTCCTATCTCAAAAAATTTGCATATCATGAAAAGGTTCTCTAAATGAGCTATTAACCTAATCATCTGAATCAACTAATTAACTCTAAACACCTGCCGAGGATTCCTGAGGCTTTTAAAAACTCCCAGCCCGGATCATTACCCTAAACCGCAATCATGGGTAAGACTGCCGACCTGACTGCTGTACAGAAGGCCATCATTGACACCCTCAAGCAAGAGGTAAGACACAGAAAGACATTTCTGAATGAATAGGCTGTTCCCAGAGTGCTGTATCGAGGCACCTCTGTGGGAAGGGAAAAGTTTGGCAGAAAACGCTGCACAATGAGAAGAGGTGACCGCACCCTGAGGAAGATTGTGGAGAAGGACCAATTTCAGACTTTGGGAGACCTGCGGAAGCAGTGGACTGAGTCTGGAGTAGAAATATCCAGATTCTCACTAAAATCTCTTTTCTTCTACTACAACAAAAGTCAGGACATGAAGGGATCAAGTCCAGGTGGGAATCCCAGAGACTCCAGCTGCTCCTACGGAATCCCAAAACGTTCCCCAGATCCACACATTCAAAGAAACGCTCTGATTTCCATCAGAGTAATATAATGCCTTAAAAAGTTTGTTATCGCTGTTCACCTGAGGATGAATGCTCTGGACAGTGAGTGGTGTGTCCATCTGTTTTTGTGGTCCAGCTGTGTCCTGAGGGTACGCCATTGTCTCCTACACAATAAAAGCCCTACAGAAAGAGAATGTGTGACCAGGAAGAAAACAGGTTTAACGTTGCAGACAAGGAGGCGACAGATTACACGTAAACAAAGCAAAAAACATTTAACTCAATGCAAACTCTGATAAAATGCACCAGAAATGACTTTATTACAAACAAATCTATTTAATGAAACATATTTTATTGTCTTTATCCAAAAATTTAAAGAATTGACTTGATTTTTAAACTGTTTGAACATAGGATTCATCCTGACTGGTAAAAAAGGCAGGAGCAAGAGCAGGAGCAAGAGCAAGAGCAAGAGCAGGAGCAAGAGCAAGAGCAAGAGCAGGAGCAAGAGCAAGAGCAAGAGCAAGAGCAAGAGAAAGAGCAGGAGCAGGAGCAGGAGCAAGAGCAGGAGCAGGAGCAAGAGCAGGAGCAAGAGCAGGAGCAAGAGCAGGAGCAAGAGCAGGAGCAAGAGCAGGAGCAAGAGCAAGAGCAAGAGCAGGAGCAAGAGCAGGAGCAAGAGCAGGAGCAGGAGCAAGAGCAAGAGCAAGAGCAAGAGCAAGAGCAAGAGCAAGAGCAAGAGCAAGAGCAGGAGCAAGAGCAGGAGCAGGAGCAAGAGCAGGAGCAAGAGCAAGAGCAAGAGCAGGAGCAAGAGCAGGAGCAAGAGCAAGAGCAGGAGCAAGAGCAGGAGAAGGAGCAGGAGCAAGAGCAGGAGCAAGAGCAAGAGCAAGAGCAAGAGCAGGAGCAGGAGCAAGAGCAGGAGCATATACAAAAAAAAAAACACAGCTGGGACTGAGGAGGGGAATGGAGACAGGCAGCAGGTGTGATGATTACCAAGGCCGGATTATAATACGGGCAAACTGGGCACAGGCCCAGGGGCCCACAGCCACAAGGGGGCCCATGCGAGGAGCAGTCTTTTTTTTTTTTTTTTTTTGTGCAGCGGTTGACATTGGAGAAAAAAGTTGACAATTAAAATTGCACCTACATTTTCTAAGTTAACACACATTTTGTTTAACAACGGTAGTTTTTGCATCTTTACTGCCTCCTTCAGCCCTCCCCCTGCACAGCGGCGCAAACTCACTGATGCACCTGCAGCCTCTCAGAGTTCCTGCTGATCTAAACATTAAAATAATTATTTCATTTTCTGTTCCTCACTTCTGATGACATTCAATGGTGTCTGTTTTTTGCAACCACCAGGTAAAAATGAACTTGTTTTTTATTTGACTAATTTTTTGTCCTGTCTGTTTATTATCTTCTTGCACTTCCTCTCAATCCTGAAGAAAAACTGCTACCTGGCTTCATATTTTCACCTCATGAATTACATTTGAACTGCAGTTCAAAAAGTTCTGCCGACCGCAAATACAGCAGAGTGTGCGCCGCGCACCAGCTGCACCGGTCCGGAGAGGTCTCCGGAGGATGAAACCGGTGATGCGCTCGCTCCGCAGCAGCGAAACCCATCAGACACAAATAAAAGACAGAAAGCATGAAAGGATGTGAGCCGACATGAACGATCGCGTGTTAAATTTGTTTTTGAGGTGGCGACACTTTGATAATGTTACTGTGGCCATGCACGTGCGGGGCCCTAAACACATTGTGCCCAGGGGCCCCTGCAAAGATAATCCGGCCCTGTTGATTACTGATTACAACGATGAGCAGGTGTGACTATTTAACTGAGCAGAGAGGATAAAACAGACTAACTGAACACAGTAAACTAAGATGAAGCAAGAACTAAAAGGCTGAATGAAGTAAATGAAAACAATCCAAACAGAACAACACAAAGAGCCAGGCAGTACGGGCAGGGGAACGAAGACTAATGGGAAATAAATCTAAACTGGAGAACACAAGGAGAACATGGATGCTGGGAAAAATGGAAAAGAAGAAGGGGGCTAAATGTAAACAGAATGTCACTGAGGCATAACCTTAGAAGAATAAATAACTGTAAGAAAACATCTGCAAAGGAGACACAGGGGTCAAAGGTTACTGATACAAAAAGATACTAAACAGGGATAAGGGGGCAACTAAAGAGAAATAAAGTAAAGCCAAGCGGATGGGGAGTAGGAAATGGAGTGAGAAACCTGAGTGAAGACTGAGGGGACCGGAGAGAAGGGGGGTGGGGTATGACAGAGGCAGAAGCAGAGGGGACAAGACAAAATAATGTAGCTCAGGTCAGTGCAGTAACTACAGCATCTGTATTAAATATTTACCCCCCTAATGGATCAGAATAATTTATGACTTTAAACCTCATGGTGTAACTATTAGTGAGACCATAACAAGAACTGCTGATGTTTGATGATTAATTACAGTTTAGGGCTTTGCTTTAGTTTGGATTTAAAGTAGTCCAATGTTTATTTTCTTATTTGTTTACATTTGACTTTCTCTTCATTTTCTGCTGAGTGTGAGCAACCGTTTATAAAACAATATAACTGCTGAGGAACAATAAATAAATATTAAACACTGGATAAATAAAACTACTTGAAATTTTTGCTGTTACGTTCAAAAGTAAAATTTATATTTCCTCTTCATTAAAATTTTTACTATTCAGAGACGAGACGAGATTTTAAATGACATATTTAATTTTTTTTCTTTAGAGGGAAAAAAATCAACTTAATTTTACTTCTTTCAAATTTTAAAGGACTAAATAAAAATGTTATTTTTTGTTAATTTGATGTCTATGAGGTCCTGCTAACCCAAAACAAGAAGAAATAATAAATAATAAAAGGATATGTATTAAGTTTAATTTAATTCTGAAATTTTTTATTATTTTGAAAGCAACATTTATGTGTCACTGAAACATTCTGCTAACATTTTAGATGGTTACTAATTTTAAAAGTATCCTATGTCTATGTTCTGGGAAGGTGAAAAATAATTTCAAGTATTTTTGTGTTGACATTTGTTACAGCCTATAGATCAATGGATGAATCTGGTAAATGCTTGCACTTAATTCCTGTTGAACCGATGTGTTGAACACAAAGAAAACAATATTTCCAGTTTTCAGCAACCAGGTTCTGCTGTTTTCCTGCTAAAACCAAAAACATAAATAAATAAATTTGTTTGTTTTTGTTGAAACATGGATTAACTACCGTGTAGAGACCAAATGTAACCAGCAGGCGGCGACAACACACCACCGATTTGCCTTCTTTTTTGTCTCCAGATTAAATCTTTACTTTACCTCTAAAATAATGAAATATATATATTTTTTGTAAAACAAAAGAAAAAATGATTCTAAATTATTTTTTTATTTATTAAATATCTGAGTTAGACTTTTAATGAGGCGGTTTGAACAGAGAGTGCTGTTCGGGTGTGTTATGTTAGGTTTTTACTTATTAAATCTGTAACTGAGCTATTTTAATAACCGAGATGTGGGTTTAAAGAGAGACAGGCAGGAGACAGACAGCGAGAGGTGGACAAAGGACAGGAGAGGAGGGAGGGTGACGCGGCTCCACGCAGAGCCGCTGAGAGGCCGCGCAGGCCGGGGAGGGCGGGGGCTGTGAGCCGGTGTCTCCTCTCTGCTGCAGCGGCCATGCTGCTGCTGTCCGCCGCCTGGCTCGGAGCATCCCGGTCCTCCGCAGGTGGAACCTGCCGCCGCTGCATCCCTGTATCCCGGGCTAACACACCGGCTCGGTCCCGTGGGTAGCGGCGGGTCCATTTGGATCCACCGGAACAGACCGGAACACGGTACCGAGAGGAGGGGGAGGAGGAGAAAGCCTCCTTAGCAACAAACCGGCTTCGCGGAATTATTGGTGGGTTCCTCCCTGTCAGCTCAGCCGGGAGGATTGATGGATAAATCCTCTCATTCATCAGGTAAAACTCACTTCTCTCGGGTTCTAGATTCATTTTAGCTTCAGATTTTATTTCATCTGGCTAGATTCTAGAATATAAGCTGATAAAGCAGCTGATGTAGGAAACAGCCTCTTTTTCAGGGTTGGGTGCATTAAAACCTGCAGGAATCATGTTTAACATAATTCTGAGTAGAACTGGGCATGCATTATAATTAAAAAGCAGGACAGCTGCACCCTCCTGCATCAACCTGACAGGACCAGCTGTGTCCCCCTCCTCTAAAGATGAAGGGACATCCAGGAAACTGTCTGATTGTCTCCTTCTTTTCTCAGGGACGGATGCTGAGGATCCAAAAGATTAGAACTGTGGCAGAAACAGGAAGCCCCCAAAGGGATTATTGGGATTAGGGTTCACTGACTTGGTTTTTCTGGCCTGACTTGGGAGCTGAACTGGTTTCACTGGATCTGCTGGACAGTGTTTCCCAGGCAGACAGCTGAGGTCGCGGTGGGGTCACTGAGACTGCAGTAAAGTCTCTTCAGGACATTGGCTTCATTTAGGATGTCCTAAACACATCTTTGTAGTATTCATCTACAACCTGGCTCTGACAGATCACCTCCCTGCTGGAACATCACCTATCTGACCGAACCACTGCACAAAGACCGTGTCCTGAGATAACGACTTAGTCCTGGACTAGGCAGGAGTTATGGACATCTGGTATCAATAAAATGGTCTTACTAGTGTTCCATAATCATAACGGGACTTTTGGAGTCATTCAAAACAACCGATTTCCTTGGGATAATCAACACATGATGAGCTGGTTCTGGACCAGATAACCTGGATTAAACAGTTTACTTTCCTTGGATTATGAATCTTTTGTTGCACAAACTCAGTTGAAGGCTCCCAGACCGTCTTTCACCATGTCGCTGAGTAAGACTCTTGAGTTAGAACATTTCGATGAACGTAACAAGGTTCGGCGAGGACGGACCACTAGAGCCAAGAGAGACGACTCCACTGGCAGCGGTGGAGGGTCTGGTCCCAGTTCCAGGGGCAGCAGCCTGGTTCCCAGTCCCGCTCACAGCGCCAACTGTAGCTACTACCGGACCCGGACCCTTCAGGCCCTCACCTCGGAAAGACGCGCCAAAAAGGTACGGTTCTATCGAAATGGGGATCGGTACTTCAAGGGCCTGGTGTACGCTGTCTCCAGTGACCGGTTCAGATCGTACGACGCTCTGCTGATGGAGCTGACGCGGTCGCTAGCAGATAACCTACATCTCCCTCAAGGAGTTCGTACAATCTACACCATAGATGGCAGCAAGAAGATCACCAGTATGGACGAACTGGTTGAAGGTAGGACTGTTTTAAACTTCTAATTGTGACGGACTGAGTATTGTTTTTAAATAAATGGACCAAGGCCTGATAGAATTTTTAAACATTTGCTGCTTGAGCGTGGCTAGACTGACCTGCAGAACGTAATCTGTTGCTACTGCAGTCTAGATCTCTAGGTTGGTCTAGATCTCTAGGCTGGTCTAGGTCTCTAGATCTGGTCTAGATCTCTAGGCTGGTGTAGGTCTCTAGATCTGGTCTAGATCTCTAGGCTGGTGTAGGTCTCTAGATCTGGTCTAGATCTCTAGGCTGGTCTAGATCTCTAGATCTGGTCTAGATCTCTAGGCTAGTCTAGATCTCTAGGCTAGTCTAGATCTCTAGGCTAGTCTAGATCTCTAGGCTGGTCTAGGTCTCTAGATCTGGTCTAGATCTCTAGGCTGGTGTAGGTCTCTAGATCTGGTCTAGATCTCTAGGCTGGTGTAGGTCTCTAGATCTGGTCTAGATCTCTAGGCTGGTCTAGATCTCTAGATCTGGTCTAGATCTCTAGGCTAGTCTAGATCTCTAGGCTGGTCTAGATCTCTGGGCTAGTCTAGATCTGGTCTAGATCTCTAGGCTGGTCTAGATCTCTAGATCTGGTCTAGATCTCTAGGCTGGTCTAGATGTCTAGGTTGATCTAGACCTCTAGGTTGGTCTAGATCTCTAGGCTAGTCTAGATCTCTAGATCTGGTCTAGATCTCTAGGCTAGTCTAGATCTCTAGATCTGGTCTAGATCTCTAGGCTAGTCTAGATCTGGTCTAGATCTCTAGACTGGTCTATATCTCTAATTTGGTCTAGATCTCTAGGTTGGTCTATATCTGGTCTAGATCTCTAGACTGGTCTAGATCTCTAGGTTGGTCTAGATCTGGTCTAGGTCTCTTGGCTGGTCCAGATCTCTAGGTTGGTCTAGATCTCTAGACTGGTCTAGATCTCTAGATCTGGTCTAGATCTCTAGACTGGTCTAGATCTCTAGATCTGGTCTAGATCTCTTGGCTGGTCTAGATCTCTAGATCTAGTCCATTTGCACTCACAAGTCACAAATTATGAAGAAAAGTTTTTTCTTTAAAATTTAGACTCAGTTTTAGATTCCGTTGTTCCATGTATAGAAAATATTTTGTCGTTGAAAGCTGCACAGTGGTGCAGTGGTCAGCGCTGTTGCCTTGCAGCAAGAAGGTCTTCGGCTCGAATCCTGACCCGGGGTGTTCCTGCATGGAGTTTGCATGTGTGGGTTCTCTCCGGGAACTCCAGCTTCCTCCCACCGTCCAAACTCGGACTGTTGGGTTGATTGTGTGTGTGTGTGTGTGTGTGTGTGTGTGTGTGTGTGTGTGTGTGTGTGTGTGTGTGTGTGTGTGTGTGTGTGTGTGTGTGTGTGTGTGTGTGTGTGTGTGTGTGTGTGTGCATGGTTATGTGTCTCTGTGTTGCCCTGCGATGGACTGGCAACCTGTACAGGGTGCACCCCGCCTGTTTGCCCAGAGACTGCTGGAGATCGACCCCCCCCCCCCCCCCCCCCCCCCCCCCCCCCCCGGATTAGCGGGTGTAGAAAATGCATGGACGGGGAATAAACTTTCCACATTTTCCACAAAAAGAGCCTAAATCATACACACATCTAAAAAAAGACTCTCATAACATAATTTAATGATTCTGTTGACTGGTTTTATTACAGAGCAGCAACAATAACCTGCTTTTCTAAGCTTCATATTTTTGTCTTTTGACTTTTCTGAAAATAATATTTCTCACTTATTTATCTTTTTTCTCATTCTGACTTCATTCCCAGCTCTGCATCGTTGTGTCTTTTCTCTGATGGCATTACGGCTCTTTGGTTGATCCTGACAGAACAAACCTTAAAATCCAATAAGAGTTGGGATCACTGCTGTAATAAACTTATTCTGCCTTGGACCCGTGATATTATCTCATATGAAGTTTTTGATTGCATATTAATAGAGTAACACCTCACCAGTAGTTATTCTGGTCATCACCAGCACAACAATCATACTGGAACACGGGTGAATTGGGTCTGATGTCTTTATCAGATTCAACATCTGGCTTCTGAAGTAAATAAACAACCAGGAATACAAAATCTGAACAAAGGTTAAACGTTGGACTTTAGATTTCTGAGTGAAGAACGGACTTTATGAACGTGTTTCCTGCCGTTTGCGGGGTTGAGACAGCCTGTAGATGTCCCTGTCTGGTATCTGACACACACCACCAAGGTGTCTTTGCTCTGCCCCACAGCCGACTGGCTGCATTTCTCTTTAATTTAAAGCATGCGGTTCTGCTTGCTGCAGTTTAGTGGATCTCGGACAGTAATGAGCTAAAAGGTCAGCAAGGCCTCGTCTCCCACGGCAACGCCACAAACACTCTGATTTAACAAAATTTTTTCTAGTAAATAATCCACTACCTTAGATTATTACCCACAATTACTTTCAATTTACTGGTTCAGGCCCATGTTTCTAAAGGCTGGACATGTCGTCCAGGACTGATAAGCTAACGGCTAGTCTGTGTGTAACAAAGAAACAACTATGTATCTGGTGTCCTAACCTTATAAACATTGACATGCTGTATTTTCCAGATAAAATGTAGTTTAAATGTAATTCTGTGATCATTTATAATCCGAGCGATGAACAGAAGCATCTAAACGCAGCACTTCCTGTTCATCGAGGGGGCGGGGCCAACAGGATGTGACTAAAGAGGCCAGATCATGCTATTTTAAACATTTTGAGAGTAAATGTAGGCACAATATATGATAAAATATTACCGTTGGCACTATTGAGATGTCATTTATCTTAAACACGAGTTAAGTTTGTCAGCCTCACTTAATACCTGGAAATAAAGTGGTTCATTTCAGTGATGCTCTGCCCGTGTTCGCTCTGAGAAAACGTACCTACAACAGCGTCGTAGGCAAGGCTGCTGTTGTACTGGCCTTGGTAGTCCAGAGGTTGAAGCGCCTGCCTTTTGTTTGGTTTCGCCATATCGTTCGACCCTTGATGGTGTGGCTAGTAATTTATTTAGCCAGCTGAAGCAGATTTCATTTCTTTCAGATCTTTTTGTTTTATTGATTATTTACTGCAAAATGTTTTGCGTCTCTAAAGATCTTTGAATTTGGTCATTTCCAAGCAGCATTTTAGATTATTTAAAGGGGCATTATGGAAGTTTGACAGCCAAAACATGTATAGAAATAATAAATGTCTTCTTCATACATTCTCCTGCAATGCCCTGATCCTGTAGAATGAGCCCTGGCATTTTTACTGTGATTGCCTGTTTTTCTGTAAAATCACAGAAAAAGAGAGATGCTCGGGTCGAGCAGGCTGCTTCATGCGCGTTCACGCTCAGGCATCGCCCGTAGCGTTTGCTATCCGTAGCTTTAGCAGCAGAGAGAGAGGCAGTGCCACTTTGGCGCTGTTCCTAACGCCTAGTGACAAACCTAGCTACATTTCTGAGGACCCTTAGCTACTTTCTTCTAGATATTTCCTGCAAATTAGCAACAAAATAGCCATTTTCACTCCGAACCCTTCTTTGAATGTTGTTTCAGCTGTTATCAAGGATATAAATGTTACAGATACAAAAGACGTCACTGGCGCTTTAGCTCACCTAGTAAGACATCAGACTCTCGTGCAGAAGAGCCAGGTTCGATTCTGGATGTGAACATAGTTCATTTAGAGTTTCTTTTTTTACATTAATGGTACATTTTTTTACAGTAAGATCCCCAAATTTTTATTTGAGACTCGCCGAACGGCATTGAATTCAAAAAAGATGTGGGTTCAACTTTCATTTTGGAACAATTTTTCAAGCAAGGGAAGGGAATGATCTGAGCATGCAGGAGGACTGACCCATCATAAACCTTTGTCGGCTGTGCTGAAGAGAAAGGTACAGAATCAAATTATTTAATTAATTAGCTGTGCGTTCTCCTGTCCTCTGTCCTCCGGGCCACACACACACACACACACACACACACACACACACACACACACACACACACACACACACACACACACGGGACTGTCTCAGCTGTTTTTTTGTCAAGGAGTGTGCACGTACAGCATGCGCGCCTCGTGCACGAGCCTACTATTGAAGCTGCCGTTACGCTTTTGGCCTGAGGGGGCAATCGCGAGCATAAAAATTCAAAACTCTGTAAAGTCCCTTTAATCTGCTCACCACACATGGACTCTCACTGACTAAATAAACAAAGAAAAAACCAGATTAGTCCTTAAATTTTAAACAAATTACCACTAAATAGTGGAAAACATAATCCTGGCAAGTGGAGCTACGAAAAGAAGAACAAAAGTTATTGTCCCGTTGAAAGGTGAACCTGCACAAAACGACATGCCAGTCTGGTGTTCTAACCACCCGACTATCCAGTCTGATACAAAGCAGCAGCTCCCTCACACACTTCCTGTGCTGGCCGTTACGTGCGTCTTTGTAGACATGATGCAGAAGTAATTTGTCAGAATATCCAGGTTTCAGCTTTAGGGGGAGCTAGTGACACAAGTGGGCAACTTTCTTCTGGATGCAGGAAAATCCTTTCCAGCCGAGATAGGAAAACGCATGAATGCAGCCAAACACGAGTTTGGGGGTTAGGGGAAATGACAGTAAAACGGTAAAGAGCTTCAAAAGGGGGATTTTCCATGAGGTGGAAGCTTTATGGTTTTTGGCTTCACTGTGACGTTCGCTGAGCTGATCTCGGATCAGAAATGAGTAAATGAGATTATTTTTTACCTTTATTAGATTAACAAACTTCATAACGGATAAAGTTTATTTCCTCAAACAGAAAAGGAGAAAACGCGTTCTCTCGTAGCCGAGCAGGCGCCCCCTGCTTTACCTTTTGCTTTAACCTCAACCTGAAAGGTAATAAATATCATTTTCCCTTCATTCAACCAAGATTAGATCATTTGCTGCCTCTAAAGCTTTTATAAAACACTTAACCTGATGGCTGATCCATCCCTCTGAAACATTAACACCCCCCCCTTCCTCTCTTCAGTTTGCAAACACACCTGAATAATTTATTTCTGTGTCCATCAACACAAAGTAAGTCCTTCTTGATCGATGCAGGAGCTGAAACGTTCCTACAACCTGATCCCAGATGTTTAGAGTCACAGAGAGGAAGAGGGCGGGATGGAAGCCCGCCGTCCTGCTTTAGACTCAGAACCAAACCCTCACCTCTGAGGAACATCAGCTGATCATGGGTATTGATGTGAGACCGGCTGTAATGTCCACTAATGAGGCGCTAGTGGCAGGAAAGCCGTTCAGCCAGAGACCGATGCATCCTAAGCACTTATTAACACCGAGAGTGGACCGTGACGGCTTTAATCTGAGAGTCCAGAGTGGGAAACTCGTCGTTTCTCTCTGGATAATGTTCCTGCGTCAGGATGACAAATTACGGGTTCTGGTTTCCCTCCGACCAGAACTCCTAACACGTTTAACTTTGTTTTCTTTATTCTAGTGAGGTTTAGCTGTTTCTAGTTTAGGTTTTGGACTCAGATTAGTCTTCAAACCTCCAACATCTTAAGTGCTGAAGAAGGTAAAACATTGTAAGAACGATGCAGGCGATGGAGTTTAAGGCCTTTTCCTTTCTGACCTCCTGACTGAGATGAATGTTCGTCCTTCTCCGTGTCGTTCTTCCTGTTTGGATTCTGATGAACATCCCAGGGTATCCGCGGGTCCTTGAAAAGTCTTAAAAAGTCTTAAATTTGCTTTTCCAAATTTAAGGCCTTGAAAATCCTTAAAAATGACAAATAATCCTTAAATCCAGTTTCCAAAGGTCTTAAATGACCAAAGACCAAATAAACAAGATTATTTGATTTCTATAAAATGTTCGTGAATTTCTAGTGTTCAGCATTTTTTGTGTACGATGTTGGTGTAAGCGGAACCGTACACGTTCAGTTGAGCACATTAGCTGGTTAAGCTAGTGGGAGCTTGCGCCATGGGGAAGTGCAAGTTTAATGGTAACTGGATGGCTAATCCCACGTTCGCGACGTGGTTAGCACCGTTTCCAGGCAATAGCTGGAAATTATAGCTTAAATTTAATTTTAAAAATAGCTTAAATTTGGTCAAAGTGGCCTTAAAAAGGTCTTAAAAAGTCTTAAATTTGGCTCCTTTAAACCTGCAGATACCCTGACATCCTGATGGCTGGCAGGCTGATCCCAGAACACATACCCGGTCTGACGTCTGCTGTCACCTTCTCTCTGTCTGCCTCCTCTCACAGCTGGACTCGGACAACAGCTGCTGATCTCTGAACTCCCTCAGAGTCTCAGATTTAAATTTAAAATGTATTTTTTTTGCCTTCACATTTAGAAAAGCTTCACATGACTGAAATAAAGATCGTAACTTTGATCTTTTGGTGTTGATTCTTCCCCTAAACTTGACAGCCTTAGACCCGAGTGTCTCTTTCTGCTCAGGTGAGTGCTACGTTTGTGCGTCCAACGAGCCTTATCGGAAGGTCGACTACACCAAGATCTCCGTCCCGAGCTGGAAGCCCGGCGCCAGCGCTGGGACCAACACCGCGAGCTCCAGCCGGACCACCACCACGTCCACCGGAGTGTCGACGAGCAACAACGCCGTCCCCAAAGATCGCCCCGAGGGTCGGGAGGGCAGAGACAGCAAAGAGTTCATCAAACCCAAGCTAGTGACGGTGATCCGCAGCGGCGTGAAGCCTCGGAAGGCCGTGAGGATCCTGCTGAACAAGAAGACGGCTCACTCCTTCGAACAGGTGCTGGCTGACATCACAGAGGCCATCAAGCTGGACTCTGGAGCCGTGAAGAGGCTGTACACGCTGGACGGAAAACAGGTAAGATAACCGAGAGCGTTCCACCGGTACGAGGAGCACCAGAGTCCCGACAGAAAACCACTCACAGGGCAGTCATTCATCCTACCTATGACCCCACCTCTCTGCCCAGGAGACCTTCAATCAATCAATCAATCATCAATCAATCAGTCAATCAATCAATCAATCAATACTTTATTAATCCCAGAGGGAAATTAGAGTTTCAGTACACACAATTCAGAGATCAGACTTACATGGGCAAGACACATGTCAAGAATTGGTGAATTTAAAGCCTTCAGGTGTAGTATCAGAATTAGTACCTTCATCAGAAACCTGTCATATCTAGTCCTATACATCTCTGCTGCCCCCTGGTGGAGGATCTGCAAGTATTACTGTTATATTAAAGCTGCAATAGCAAATCTACAAAAAAACCTAGCTTTCGAACACAATCACGGAAGACTCACTCCTCCCGTCAGCTATCATCTCCAGGCCATGTCCCTCTATACCAGAACCAGCAAAGCTAGAGGAAACGAGAGAGCGCAAAACACCAGTCGCTGCTTTCTAGGTCCAAACATCGTTTGTTGCCCTTGACTTCAGACGGTGTTTTTCTCTGTGGGACTCTGGTAGTTTGCCCTAAAGTTGAAGTGGTAGCATCTGGCTGTTCCTCCTCTGATCTTATTGAGCGGAGAACCTCACACCAGTGGTGTTCTGCTGCTAAATAGTGTGTTATGAATGGAGATCCCATGGAAGTGCGGCGGTTTGGTGAATGTTGTTAGGAAGCATGAAAACAATGTTTTAAGCTAGCTTGTTACACAGATTTGCCAAAGTAGCTTTAAAATAAAGCAGATTATATAGTTACAGTGATGTCATCAGTAGTGTTTGACTTCTCGTTGGGTTTGTGAAAAAGTCTCAAACTTATTTTTTTACTTAATATTTCAGCAGCTGTAAAGTCTGATCCCAGAAACTGAAAGCTGTCCAACCTACTCACTAATTTGTTTTATGTAAATAAACAATATCTGTCACCGAACCAGCGTCCTGGTACACTGACATGTAGTTTCAGTACACTGTGGCCATGCAGCCATTCTAGCTCTCCCATTAATGTTATATTTCTATATTTACACTTTCAGAAAAATGAGTCTTTTAATCAGACATTTAGGCATTTGAGTTTATTTTCTCTGTGTTGATTCCAGTACAGTCGTTATTATTTAGAAAGACGTTTTTCATTAAGTAAAGTCGAATCAGACAGTTTGAGCCCAGTTGAATAAATCAGACAGAAGAAATTAAACTAAAGCTCGTTGCAAAGTTGCTGATGGGAAGAGATGGAGCCGTGGTTTAGAGAGTCTGGAGTCCAGCTGAGGAGCTGCAGCTCGGAATATGTTCTGGTCCTCACTGAAAGCCTTTTCTAACTCATTTCAGGGTGAGGATTTAAATTTATCACACACTCGCTGGCTAGGCTATTTTTAACACACACACACACTCACAGATAAGTGTGTGATGAAGACAAAGCCGAGGAAAAGCAAAGGCAGCAGAAAACTCATCGGGGCGTCAGAATGACTGAAGGATGTTTGATGTTGTGAACGCAGCTCTAATTAATGTACAAAACGTTTTTATGTAATCACACACACACACACACACACACACACAAATCATGCTGCTGCAGCAGCTTTAAGGATATAAAAGCAACAGCAGCTTCAAAATAAAAGCCTCCATGTAATATTATTATTAACCCTGAATTAGTTTTTAAATCAATTATGTTAATGAAAAATAAAAAAAATGTTAATATAATAATGAAAGTGTATCCTTTCAGAACTTCAAACACGTCTTCAGTATTTGTTTCTGTGGTTCACGGATCAACGCCGCTCCACGTGTACCTGTTATAATAAAGTTAAGTAATAATTATTAATGAAGTCAGACACATTAATGAGTCCTAACAAGATTAAACAGGTCTTCTGTTTGTCCGGGACTTATTAACACGAGTCTTTAACCTCATATGATGGGAAAAATGTTTAAAAAGCAAATAGAACCGCATCAGGTTTCTGATCCAGACTAATGTGTAAAAAACTGGGTCAATATTCATATTTAGTGTCATAAAGTGTCATCTGAGATGAGAGCCTCGCCTCTTCTGGTCCTTCTAGAAATCGCCAACATCCGTGAGTCAAAGGAAATCAGGAAATTATAATTTAAAGAAAATGTCTAAATCTTGTGTTTAAATCTTTGCTAAACTAACAGTAAACAATTATAACAGCTGTTTTTGAGATGAACTGTTAGATTACTTTATTTAAAGGTGTAATCTGTAATCCCTGTAATACCCTCCTTTTGGTATTCACTCTCATTACTTCTGCTAGTTACCAGCTTAGCTCCTCTCCCTTGAGCTTTGAAGACTTTTAAACTCTTATCTTCCCACGCTGCTGTCTGGTTACCATGGTGACCTGTTGTCTAGCATCATTTGGTTGCTATGGACATACACGGACACACGTGGAATGTCCGGTCCAGTTCCAGGATGGGGGTTATGGGGGTTTGGTTTCCATGGCAACAGAGCAGCATTGACATTCTGAGTTGTTTCTGACATTGATAAAGAATCTGGTTCTCCAGGTGGATCCTACAGAAGTTCTAGAACTTTGTTTCATCCCTCTTTCCTTCTCTCCCGCTCTGTCCTGTCTGTCTGGATAAAACCGGAACGTTCTGCTGAATAATATTTAATCCTCAGACGGTTCTCCGACAGCTCGTTGTGTTTGTTTCTGTCTGTCAGAGGCTGTTGGAACGGCGCCAGCAGCATCTGTCGTCTGCCCCATCTAACACACACATACTGTGTGTGTGTGTGTGTGTGTGTGTGTGTGTGTGTGTATGTGTAGCTGACCTGTTTGCAGGAGTTCTTCGGTGATGATGACGTGTTCATGGCGTGCGGTCCAGAGAAGTTTCGCTACGCTCAGGACGACTTTGTGCTGACTCACGCCGGTAAAACAGCAGCCTTCGTGACCGGTAAAGCACGACGACACACTTCATACTTTATACTGAGAATATTATAATCATGTCTGAATGTTCTACACAGCGGGGGGCGATGCTGTAACGTCTCTGACACAAGTCAGTGACTCGATGCAACAGTGGCGTGTCCAGATCTTTTAAAATGGGGTGGCCCAGGTGAGGCACAGCTTTGTGCATGGGTGGCACCAATGGTTATGCTTTTTTTGTTTGATCCCCAAGCCTTTTGTGGACAATGAAAAGCCTATCTAAAGGTAAATTAGTGTGGTGGCACCTGGGGTGGCCAATCAGATTCCATGGGTGGCATATGCTACCCCAGGCCACTCCCTGGACACGCCCCTGTGATGCAACCTGCTGGGCTCGTCTCATTGGAAACTTTAATCTAACTGGAATAAAGAATGAACTGAACTCAACGGGCGCCCTGAGGCGACTCTTGTTGGCGCTATAGAATTAAAGTGAAGTGAACTAAAGTGTTAGAACCACACCGACCATGGAGAACCAGTCTGGGAAAGATCTCCAATAAAAAAAAACTATAAACTTATAATAAATTTCCTGTTTTTGTTCTTCTTCTCATTACAGTCATAAGTAGCTCTACCTGTTGCTGTATTTATTTGACTTTAAACACCAAAGTCAGAGTTATTTTTTATTTCCTCTCTCTCCTGGCCAGAGTGCAGAACCAAACCTCCTCGCTCGGTTGCTCCTCAGAAAACTCCTAAAACTCCCAGCAGCTCCGGTTTCTCCTCCTCCTCTAAGGCGCCGCCCAAAGGCCCACCCAGGTCCAAGTCACCTGGTCCAGGTAGGAGAACTCCTCCCCCTCTTTACCTGTTAGCTACAGACGTACGTTAGCTGGTTTAACCTCAAACCCCAGGGGCGCCTCCAGAAAATGTTGATAGGGGTGGCCTGATGGGGCCAAAGAAATTTTTGGGGTGGCACACCAAATTGGTCCTTGTGGTAACTCTGGGAGGATTTAGCCTGTGGCGATGTACTGCATTGCACCTTTATTCATTTTCATTAAAATAACAGTAGGTATCCAAAACATTTAACTTCAATATTACAAATGCAAACATTTTAGAAAAATACACTTCAGTTATTTAAAATGTTATCACACATTTTATTTCAAAATAATTTTTTTTAGGATTATTCACCTGTTGCTGTGTTCACAAAAAAAAAAAAACTATGGGGATAAAAACTTTTTTTAAATGGTGAGCAGCAGAAACATGTATTTTTTTTATTCTGATTATTTCTTTACTCGATAATTGTATTATTTTTATTTTGTTTTACAATTATGTCTTGAACATACAAGATCAATATATGGTTAGAGTGAACACTAATATGATTTGTTAACACTGGCTTTTCCGGGGGGCAGCAATTTTCCAGGGGTTGCCATGGCCACCCCTGGCCACCCCTTGGGGGCGCCCTTGTCAGACCCCCTCTATGAAATGTTCCTGCTCACGTCGTCTCATCAAATCTGTTCATCTTTACTTGTGCTATAATAAGACAGTTTTATTCAATTGTGATCATTTCGCTGCATTCAAACTGAAAAAGATAAAAATAAAAGTTTTTCTGGTATAAAAAGAGAAATAATGACAAAGCCAACAAACTATAAATGAGTTTAAATTAAACTTCACAAAATTAATTGAACACCAAACAGTTTTTAATATATTATATAAAACGTAAATAAATTCAGACACACTGCAAAACTAAAACTCACAGATTAAGTCCTTGTCCATCCCGACCAATCAGATGGTTTATTCTCCCAGCAGCCAATGAGACATCAGGATCACAGCCGGTGAAGTCCAGCAGGTCCAGCCCGTCTCCCACCAGTCCTGGAGCACGGCGGAACTTGAAGGTGGGACGGGAGACGCTTTGATCCCGTTTCAGTCGTTCTCTCCGGTTTTCCTCCTTAAATAAATGTTTCTGTGCAGGTTTCTCCTCGTCGCTCCTCCTCCACCGACGTCAACGAAGAAGCAGAGCAGGAAGACGACGACGCTGAAGGTTTGAGCGTTTTATGATTCATCTGTGTGGTTCTGGGCTGAACCTGGAAACGTGTCGTTTGTTCTCGCAGTGAACGGAAACCGCTCGGTTTCTTCCTCCATCATCAACGACAAATACAAGGTTGGAAAGGTGATCGGGGACGGAAACTTTGCCGTGGTGAAGGAGTGTGTGGAGAGGTAACCTCCATCACTACACGACAGCACCCTCACCCTCCATCAGCTCCAACATTCATCAGTTCATTTCCCACGCAGCTAATATAACCAGTTATGTATAATATTAATATGAGTCGTAATCTGCGTGTTTGCAGGGCGACGGGACAGGAGTACGCTCTGAAGATCATCGACAAAGCTCGCTGTTGTGGGAAGGTAACAAGTTAGGATTTGATATTACAGATTATTACAGCTAATCCTGATATTAGTTACAGACAAGTCCTGGTTTAAAGGATAAAAACCAAATAATCCTTTAATCAGAAACACCATTTATCTTCTGAGGATCATTTAGCTGGACTAATGGACCATGTGGTGCTTCTTTCACATCATCGCAGAAGAATCTGGTTTATTTAGATGGGTTTTCCCATCATTAACCTGCTGATAGGCTGTGAAAATTTGCTTTACTTTTAACCAATCAGCTGATTTATTTATATTTTCTTTTCCAGCAGCCAAACTTTCTGCTTATCCTCTACACACGCTTTCATCAACGGTTCTTCAGACGTTCAGTTTTATAAAATTAATGCTGACCGATAAAATATTCAGGCATAAAATACTCTGTAACTCAAGGGATGAGCCAGAGTAATGGCCTGTATTTGATATAGCGCCTTCCAGAGTCCTAACTAGGACTCTAGAAGCCCCCACCCCACCCCTTCTCCCTCCTCCTTGATGAAATTGGAATTAATTTAACAACACTGCCACAGCCTGTTGTAGCTAGCGCTAACAACGAGCGAATGCTACCACAAGCCAGCTGATACAAAATAAGTCACAAAGTAAAAAGATTCACACGGTTGGACAAAAATATATTTACGTACAAGTCCAATAGCAACAAATCCAGGTCATCATCGGTCCGTGATTACGTAGCCTCCTTTAGCTCCCTCCAACCACACCAATGGTTACTCTGGTTTTAGCTCTTAACTTCGCCTCCAAAGACGTTATTCTCTTTAACTTCCATGCTCTGCCATGATTCCAACAAAATTAGCAAAATTCTTCTTGTGCTTATGGTCAGCAAACTGAAAAAGCTAACCGCTAGCCTTTATATTAGCTACCAGCACAGTGAGCAGCTATTGTCGTAAAGCGTTCAGACATTCCGCTTGTTTTTGAACCTGAACCACAAATCCTTTAAGTGCAGTTTCTAAACAGCAGAGGGCGACAGAGTGCTGTCACAGTTGAATTCAGCTGGTTAGCTTAGTGTCAAAACTATTTAGTGTTGCCGTAATAAATATTTCAAAATGTGCTAAAGTTGAAAGGAAAACTCCAAAAACCCTTCAGACCGTCTGGAATGAGAAAAGCTACACCAAACAAGTCCATATTTACTAAATCAGTGCATTACATGTTAATAATTAATACTACCTAAACTGGTTCAAACCAGAGTGTGTGTTCCGGTCAACAGGAGCACCTGATAGAAAACGAGGTGACGGTCCTCAGGAGGGTCCGACATCCCAGCATCATCCAGCTGATCGAAGTAGACGAAACGCCGACTCAGCTCTTCCTGGTCATGGAGCTCGTTAAGGTTATTCCTCTTTCTTTGTTTGGTTTAAAAGTCTGTCTTGGTCCGAAAACTAACTCCTGCTTTCCCGTCTCCCGTCAGGGTGGCGATCTATTCGACGCCATCACTTCCTCTACGAAGTACAGCGAGCATGACGCCAGCGCCATGGTGTTCAACCTGGCGGGAGCCATCAAGTACCTCCACCGCATGAACATCGTCCACAGAGACATCAAACCAGAGAACCTGCTGGTACTGAAACACACTCATACCTGTTCAAACTGGTTTCATGGATGTTTTCTTTAACGTTCCAAACATCTGTGAGCCTTAAGATTTAAAAATAAGTTCCTAAAAGACACAAAGATGTAAATAAAGGCCAGTAAGTATTAATAAAGTTAGCTTAAAGTATTCATCTATAGTTTATTAATGTTCGTGTATCTATTAGAAACATTTTTATTTTAACTAGTTCTATTTTTTTATTTTAAGAAGGGTTTCAACTATCACTTCAACTCCCATGATGCTTTATGGTGTCGATGATGATAGTTGAAGTAGTTTATGTTCAAACAGCCTTTAAATGTTTTAGAGTTGCTGCTAAAATCCTGTTTACAGCATGATTTATATGAATCTATGTTTCCATAACATAATCACGTTTATCAGTTTGTTAGAAATGAGTCTGAAGTTAACTTAATGGTGAAATCCTGCCACCTGCTGGTGAAAATCAGTTCCTACAATAAAAAGAAAAATGCAGATGTTTGACTCTAAACTATAAATGTTATTTCGTTATAAACCTGAAAATATTGAAGTTATTATTAAAATTCCAACTGTGACTCCTTACTGTTTTTTAACCTGCTTTATTCTCTGATATGAGATAGAAATCTCTGATTAAAAGAGCTGTTGTTGTTGTTGTTGTTGTTGTTCAGGTGTGTGAGTACCCAGACGGCACCAAGTCCCTGAAGCTGGGGGACTTCGGTTTAGCGACTGTGGTGGAGGGGCCGCTCTACACCGTGTGTGGCACGCCGACATACGTCGCCCCAGAGATCATCGCTGAAACGGGGTAAGAGAGGACGACGGTGTTTATCTAAGGACTTACTGAGATGGTCGCTGAGTCATCCGCGCCCAGAGGCTTTCAGATTAACGTCACGTTTAATTCCTGGTGTCAGTAGAGGCGATGCAGAGCGATGGTTGGGCCCACACCAGGACCAATGAGAGCTCGTCCTTGGAGAACATCTGCTGCTCTCATTCTGACTGGAAGCTGCTTGTGATGGATGTAGTTTGTGAAGTGCAGCTGGTTCTTCTCTCGAACGCCTGAAGAACTAAATTAAATGTGGAATGTCAGATGTGTTAAAATAAAAGAAAGATGCTTATTTAAATTTGATGTAAGTTGACTTTAGTTGGGTAACAGACAGCTGTTCTTGTGTTCGTGTGCAGTTATGGTCTAAAGGTGGACATCTGGGCTGCAGGAGTGATCGCCTACATCCTGCTATGTGGATTTCCTCCTTTCAGAAGGTCAGTGAATGCACCATCGTTATTGATTTAATTAGGACTTCTGCTGTGTAGTCAGTGTCTTACCTGCAGCAGATAGCTCTTTTCTGATTAATACACCAAATGAGTTAAGTTTTCTGGGATGGACTTTATGTTCCTCAGCGAGAACAACGTTCAGGAGGAGCTGTTTGATCAGATCCTCAAAGGGAAGCTGGAGTTCCCGTCTCCAGATTGGGACACCATCAGCCTTCCAGCAAAGGTACAACCAGCTTGTTTGGTCCTGAATAATTGTGTTTTAGATGCTTCACGTGGTGGTTAAGGATCCAATCAAATGTATTCTAAGATAAGCATCTTTATTTCCCTACAACGCCTTGATTATGAACAATCTTCACAAACGGTAGATTTTTCTGAGCCCTGTCAGATATGGCAGGTTTTAATACCAGTGCTAACAGGATGAATTAGCTTTCATATGAGGTTCGTTCTGGGTATCTCAAGGCTGTGGATGTTGTAGGGCTGTCGTGGTTGACACGTCTCTGCAACATTGCGTGGTCATCGGGGGCAGTTCCTGTAGAGTGGCAGACCGGGGTGGTGGTCCCCATCTATAAGAAGGGTGACCTGAGGGTGTGTTCCAACTATAGGGGGATCACACTCCTCAGCCTCCATGGAAAGGTCTACTCCAAGGTACTGGAGTGGAGGGTCCGATCGATAGTTGAATCTCAGATTGAGGAGGAGCAATGTGGTTTCGTCCTGGCCGTGGAACTGTGGACCAGCTCTATACCCTTGCAAGGGTGATGGAGGGGGCATGGGAGTTTGCCCAACTAATCCACATGTGTTTTGTGGATTTGGAGAAGGCTTATGACCGTGTCCCCAGGGGCACCCTGTGGGGGACGCTCCAGGAGTATGGGGTGGGTGGCTTTCTGTTAAGGGCCATTCAGTCCCTTTACCAGAGGAGCGTGAGTTTGGTCCGCATAGCCGGTAGTAAGTCGGACCTGTTCCCGGAGAGGGTTGGACTCCGCCAGGGCTGCCCTTTGTCACCGGTTCTGTTCATTACCTTTATGGACAGAATTTCTAGGCGCAGCTGTGGTGTGGTGTGTCGAGTTTGGTGGCAGGAGAATCTCGTCTCTGCTTTTTGCGGATGATGTGGTCCTCCACGCTTCATCCAGCTCTGACCTTCAGCTCTTGCTGGGTAGGTTCGCGGCCGAGTGTGTGAAGCGGCTGGGATGAGGATCAGCCCCTCCAAATCTGAGACCATGGTTCTCGACCGGAAAAGGGTGGCTTGCCAACTCCAGGTCGGGAGAGGTCCTACCTCAAGTGGATGAGTTTAGGTATCTCGGGGTCTTGTTCACGAGTGAGGGTAGGAGGGATCGGGAGATCGACAGGCGGATTGGTTCAGCATCTGCAGTGATGCGGACACTGAACCGATCTGTCGTGGTGAAGAGGGAGCTGAGCCAGAAAGCCAGGCTCTCGATTTACCGGTCGATCTACGTCCCAATCCTCACCTTTGGTCATGAGCTTTGGGTAATGACCGAAAGAACGAGATCGCGGATACAAGCGGCCGAAATGAGTTTCCTCCGTAGGGTGGCCGGGCTCAGCCTTAGAGGTAGGGTGAGGAGCTCGGACATTCGGGAGGGACTCGGAGTAGACCCGCTGCTCCTCCGGATTGAAAGGAGTCAGTTGAGGTGGTTTGGGTATCTGGTCAGGATGCCTCCTGGACGCCTCCCTGGGGAGGTGTTTCGGGCATGTCCTGCCGGCAGGAGGCCCCCGGGTCGACCCAGGACACGTTGGAGAGGTTACATCTCCAATCTGGTCCGGGAACGCCTTGGGGTCCGATGGTGAGGACAGTCTGGAGCTCCCTAGTTGGGATGCTGCCCCCGCGACCCGGATCCGGATAAGCGGAGGAAGACGACGACGACGACTTAAACATAAAGATCTCTTCCACAGATGCTGATTAGTCAAATGCTGCAGGTGAACGTGGACGCTCGATTCACGGCTGAAGAAGTCCTCTCCCACCCCTGGGTGACGGTAAGAGACCAAACACCTGCAGACCTCCAACAAGTACCTTCCCGCCAGCACCCATTGATGCGATGTGTTGTTCTAGGATGAGGCTCCAGTAGAGTCCAGCACTGTGATTGGCGCTGAGGACCACGCTGATGGAGACACTATGGAATCCGACTGTGAATCTCCTCTACTGGAAACCAATCACATTCCCTCCCCTCTGGTCTAGACCACGCCCCCTATCATCAGACATAGCATTAGAAATGTTCCTATTGACTCGGTCTAGAAGAGAACACGTCTCAAACCTTTATTTATCGAGCACCTTGCAGGCATGAATCATGCCACCAACATGATGTACAAGAATAGAACAGAAACAGATAAATCCAACAAAGTTTTACTTACAAGGTAAGATCATATAAAATATCAGCAACATCTAACCCACAGAGTTAAAAGCCAGAACATAAAAGTTGATGCTCCGCCTCGTTTTAAAAACCGCTACTGACGAGGAGAGCCTAACAGATGAGGGAAGTGCATTCCATTGCTTTGGACCCGCTAACCAAGATCGCCCTACCCTCTCTCGTCTTCAGCCGAGTTCTGGGAGCCAGAAGCAGCAGCTGGTTCTTGGAGCAGGAACACATGGCTGCAACAACTCAGTCAAATACGCTGGAGCTGACCCATTCAGTGCTCCAAACACCAATAAAATGATGTAAAAGTGTCTAAAGTCTTTAAGATGCAGAAACCACGTCCACTCGAGTTGGGTCTAGATCTGCTTCTCTAACCGGCTCCTTTCATCACGTAGGAATCAGGCGTTAGAACCAGGATAGAGACCAAACCACTACCGAGCACACCTTCAGCTCCTAGACTCTGGTCTAGAATAAATCTGCTAGATACAGAAATCATGCATGCTCATGCTGTTTAAGAACAGGTACTGTGTTTCTAATTGGTGCTCAAAATGAAACCAGACCTCTAATCTAGAACATCTTCCATTAGAACATGTAAGTTCCCTCTAATGTGGTCTGAAACACGTCTTATGCTCCATTTGATCGATAAAGTCCAGAGAATATTTCTTCAGCTCTGGTATAGAAGTTTTCTACTCACAGAGGAAAAAATCTGCTCTACTCTAGAATCCTGTTTTGTTTCCCTCACCCCTAACGCGTGTTATTCACCTGAAACTGAGTTCTGCAAACGGGTCCTTTGTTCTCCTGGTCAGGTTCTCCAGTGTTGTCCCCAGTTTGTCTCCTGGAAACCATCACTGGTCCAGAGCGTGTGCCAAACTTGCAGACTTTGCACAAGGCCTGCCTCTGCTAAAATCACTACTGACTTTGTTTTTGAGACACTAATGAGATCCACCCCTTGCTGCTGGGGACATGAATCTCCTAGACACAGGGACACCATGAAGGAGTCACTGGTGTGGACCTGGACTTCCATGTCACCAGAACAGAGCTCATCGTACCTCCATCTGAATGAAACTGACATTAAAAGCTATAAAACAATAATTTAACAGGACAATGAACTCATGGACTCGTTCAAAAATGCTGTGGATTAGATATTACCGTCTCTAGTCCCTGCCACCTGGGGACAGGATGTCTTCCGTTCATCTAAAGAAATGTCCCATTTCTTCTGCCTTTTGTCCTCCACCCCTCTTCTTTATATCAGCCGCCAATTCATCGAGGAGAGATCTGAGTACTGTGCCTGTTTTTACGCTGCTGATTTATTCATTTTTTAATATTTAATCTGAACCCAGTGGTCTATCAGAATCTAGTATTAACTAATTACCCAAACTGGACAGAAGCCTACCTGTTTTGGGGTTATTTAAAGGTCTTTGCCAAAATATACATTTGTTTCTAAGGAACAGGAATAGTTGGACCTATCGGGAATGATTTCCTCCCTGGAAGACAATAAATGCTAACATTACAGTGTCAGTAGATTAGTTATGAGGCTTCAGCTCACTGGAAGAGGACTGGAAACAGAAACATGAGTCTGGGTCTAATTTTGCTTTTTGAGTAAAACTGACTCAATTTTCAGGGTTTTAAATTTCGCTTTAGAAATTAAGGTAAAAAAGAAAAAGCCTAAAATCCAATCCCAGTCTCACCCCTTTTCTTGTACCACCTAACACCGGGCATTCACTGGGATATCGGGGAGGGGGGTACGGTACTGTTATCGGACCCTTCTAATAGTGTTTCAGGGGGATATTTCAAATTGAGTTTTTAGACGTCATTCAGAAATTAGAGGAAAGTACAGCTACATGCTAGCCAGTGTGTTGCTAGCATGAATACTTGTATATGCTAGCCCGTGTGTTGCTAGCATGAATACTTGTGTATGCTAGCCGGTGTGTTGCTAGCATGTATACATGTACATGCTAGCAACATTCTAGCTAGCATGTTGCAAGCATGTATACTTGTATATGCTAGCCAGTGGGTTGCAAGCATGTATACTTGTATATGATAGCCAGTGTGTTGCTAGCATGTTTACATGTACATGCTAGCAACTTACTAGCTAGTATGTCGCAAGTATGTATACTTGTATATGCTAGTCGGTGTGTTGCTAGCATGTATACTTGTACATGCTAGCAAAATGCTAGCTAGCATGTTGCAAGCATGTATACTTGTATATGCTAGCCAGTGGGTTGCTAGCATGTATACTTGTGTACGCTAGCCGGTGTGTTGCTAGCATGTTTACATGTACATGCTAGCAACGTACTAGCTAGTATGTTGCAATTATGTATGCTTGTATATGCTAGTCGGTGTGTTGCTAGCATGTATACTTGTACATGCTAGCAAAATGCTAGCTAGCATGTTGCAAGCATGTATACTTCTATATGCTAGATGTTGTGTTGCAAGCGTGTATACTTGTATATGATATCCGGTGTGTTGCTTAGCATGTATACTCGTACATGCTAGCCAAACTTGTTTGCATGCCAGGGTGTTGGGAACTTTTAAGTTTTCTTGCATCTTTCTGTTTAATATCAGATTCTCCCTAGATGTCTTTAGCTCAGCTGCTGTTAAAAAATAAAAGAACTGGGACTCAAGCTAAATTCGGTGGCCCACTTGAACTTGTCTTCTGGGTCAAGGGTCATATGGAGCCCTAACTGGGACGCCCAGACTTTCCTCTAAACTGACGATGCTTCTTTGGGGAGGCATCTGATTCTGCAGCCCCTCGTAACTCAGCTTGAAGAGCTAATGGTGCCCTTCAAGTCTAGGGGAAGCACTGGGAGTGAATTTGTGTCCTTGTTAGGTCCAAATAAGACATATTTTAAGATCCTACCCTACATCGGACCGTTATTTTCTCCCCAGACCTTGTACTGTAAGCCTGATTGTTGGGTAAGCTCCATACCTCTCTTATCGACCATCTTTACAAGGCTTCTACCAGCAGTAAGACTTTAGGGCAATCACCAGTCTGACCCATGAGCTGTCTGCCTCTCCTCAGCCAATATCACTAAATGCAGGATAAAACAATTTTGTAAATACTGTACGTACTGTGTCTGTGTGGGTCTGTTGCAAATAGAAAAAGAGTAGCAGCTTAGATAATTCGTAGTACAACCATGAAAAGAACAATCTCATCAACATGAGGGTCAGCACCCTGAAAAAATATTACACAAAGACTTTCCTTAAAGGAAGGAAAGGATTTTCCACATTTTAAGATGTATTTTCAGTAGTTAGCTAATTATTCAATTAAAAATAGTGAAATATTTGTTATTAAAGGTTCCTGCAGGGTGTTGATGGCCTGCAACTGTTCTTTAGAGCCCTGACCGTTCTGGTAGCAAACACATTAGTTGTCTTGATTTGTACGATCATGTGTCTGTGAAATGTCCAACCACCATGTTGCTCCGTCCATCTTACTGGTTATTAGAGTAGGTAGGAATAAAGGACAAATGTCTGTGATGTTTTAATCGATGTGACACCGGAACGTCTGAGGCGGATGCTCGTCTGCATCGACGGAGGGGGTTCCTTTATTTACATCTTGCACAGATCTGATGCAGTGACACAACCTCTCCGTGGCCTTGACCTTTGGTTTGAGCCGCTGATTAAGAGTCTGGTGGGACGTGTCGATGCTGAGTTCTGTTTGGGAACGCTGAGTTTAAAGGACTGAATGAATGTTACTGCAACTCATAAAACCCCAACATGATCTATGTTCAGGGTTCCATCACTGGCTCGTTATAGTGGGAGATTGTTGGGGAACTGCCTAATAAATGGTATGAAATTGGTGTGTAATTATATGGAATGAATTGGACCAACATTTGTGTCAGTTGGGCTCTTCTTTGACTAACTCTTAAAAAAAAGCTGATTAAAATAACTACTTTTTAATTTTTGTATAAATTTGGGGCAAATATTAACTTAAATTTAACATAGGGTTATAATAATATAGAAATAATGTTGGAGTGAGTGTTTTTACATTATTTATTCGAAAGGTACACCAATTTTAGATTTTTTTTAAGAGCAAGTCACCCCGAAATCAACTTTTGTTTGCTGATAAACTAATAAAGTGTCTAATGTGTGAGTGTCTAATCATGCTCTAGACACGTGTAGTCAATAATTTGGCACTTTAGGGCATCTTAGTTCAAATTTAAATATTCTGCCTAAAACTCAGTGTCAGCGCCCTCTCCAGGTAAAAACTCTGCACTGCATTTGATTTTAAATGTGCAACTGCTATTGGCTAAGAGGTACACTATGATGTTAGCTGGTGCATTAAAATGTCACAATGTTGTTGTGAGCCTGTTTGTGTGTATTTGTTAGTAGCTCCGCCCTCTTGGTCTGCCACGCAACAGCATTTGTTGCATTTTTCAAACATGAAGTTGGAGTGGAGTAAGTTTCTTGTAGGGGTGACTTACTCTTTAACTAAACCAATGCTTGAATGCGCTGGTGTCAGGTAAACACAAATGAATCCAAACGGGCTTTAATTAGACAGCGTTTAACTGTACATGGGCTCTGTTTGAAGGTGATGTTAAACACGTGCATGCTAGGAGCAGGTTGGTAACCATGGATACAGACCTGACTTATACTTTAGGTATTTTAGAAGAAAATTACTTCATGCTTTCAGGAGTGTGTGTAGAGTTAATGATGTGAAGTTGGGTGCAAACGGGACATCATTTCCTGAAGTAAGCACCAGGTTACCTGCTGTAGGATCATCTGCAGCAGGAGTGTCTGGGTGTCTTTCATTTCAGCTGTCAAACTAATATATTCATTAATCAGAAGCATGCATTTGGAGCCAGCTGCTTTGAGCATTCCATTTCCTTGTTGATCTGAACGTTAGCTCATCACCGGAGCGTAACGTTGCTCCAGACGTAATTTTCACTTTAGAAGTGGGGGGGACATGGAGTGTGTGTGTGTGTGTGTGGGGGGGGGGGGGGGGGGGGGGAATCTTTACAGTATGCTCTAATGGTAAACAGGCTTCAACACAGACAGTTGTTTTCTGCTTGGTCCTAGAGCTCAACCAGTGTCAATCTAAAATAGCGTAATATTGTTTTTGGATGGTAAAAAGTGCAGGGGTCAAAACTTGACTTTTGAAAAAGTGGGGGGGACATGTCCCCCCTGTCCCCCCCCCCCCAAATTACGTCCATGGCTCCAGTGTTGTTCAGCTCCTGCAGCACATTCTCTAAACCAAACCAGAGAAGAATGTCAGCATCCATCCAGCTCTTAACCAGCAGCTCAGCCTCTCTACTTCTATGCCTGCTATCAGCCCAGTGGTCTTAATTGTTTTCTCTTTGCTTTAAACCAGGGGTGGGGAACCCTGGTCCATCGAGGGCCGATCCAGCATATTTTAGTTTCAGCCCTGCTTCAACACACCTGATTTCAATCAGCAGGTGATTAACAGGCTTCTGCAGAGCCTGATGAGCTGCTGAACAGGGGAATCAACCACTGAATCAGAATTTTTGGAGCAAAGACACGCAGGATACAGCCCTCGAGGTCCAGGGTTGCCCACGCCTGCTTTAAACTAATCAAGAGGAGCCTTCAGTTAGTTAGTTAGTTAGTAGGTTAGTCCTGCAGCCACCTGAGTCAAACGTCTGCTGCTTGTTTTTAGCTCTGATTGTTGAAGATTGTTGTTGATGTCTGCATGTTTTTATCTGTAATATTCCGCTAAAAATACATGTTCAATCTTCCTAGTTTATTTTAGTCTCAAGCCATTTTTGCTAGAGTCAGAAGAGCCATGTTGATCCTAAAACCCACCAAGTCCAGTCAAAGTTATGTTAGAAAAGCTGCTGGAAGTGCAACTCAAACAGAAACTGATCACATTTTTAAGAAGCTGATATCCTGTAGCTCTAAAGAGCGTCTGAAACGTTTAATCTCTAACACAGAAATAGGTTTTTATAGGTTGATTTTGGTGTTTATAACTTTTTTTGCAGCTTTAACAACGATAACGAAGAGAGAACGCTTGTTTCCCTGAGGTTAAATGTTCCAGATGTGAGTTTTCTGCAACATCTGACCCGTAGAGGTTTAGTGTTTTATCTCCACGCCGTGTCGTCGTAGCTGATTGTTGGACGGTACTGAGCAGAGTTCAGAGATAAGAAGCAGCTGAATCATTTCATTTGACTCTGGTGGGGAAGCTGTGTGTGTGTGTGTGTGTGTGTGTGTGTGTGTGTGTGTGTGTGTGTGTGTGTGTGTGTGTGTGTTTTAGGTTTATTTTTGCTTTGATCACCTAAAATAAAAAAATGCAAAGTTTGATTGGAAGCTGTTTTTATGCCACGATGTGTTCAATGTTGTGAGTTATTCATGCTTCATTTTCTTATTTGTACATAAATCTTTTGGAAATTTCATCCAAAGCTCACAGTGAATTTTTATTTAAGATTCTTTTAGGAAAACTTTCAGGGTTAGAGATGCAAAGTTATTTTTCAGGACACACGTAGCTGATCTGTAAACAGGTGTGTGATGATGTTAAACCACGTGAGCGTTTACCTGGACTGGGTGGAGAAGATAACTTTGAACTTGAGAGACGATGAACTGAACTGTGAAATAAAACTGCAGCAGCATCTCTTTGTCTTGGAAAACAACCTACAGCCTGGGTTTTGTCTGCAATGCTTTACGGAATAAATAGAGACAGAAGGACATGTTTGATACAGAAACGCGAGGATGACTCAAATCTTCTCTAACAGCACCATCTAGAGGCTGACAAATGCAAAGCGCCTTAAGTTCTTATTACGTCCCTTGGCTTGCTAGGAGTGATGTGGTTGTTGAGGGAGCAATAAAGTTTGAGTGTGGGCAGAGGCGGAGCTAGCCTAAATGGCGCCCTGTGCGAGAACCCCCTGTGACCCCCTACACAAGAAAAAAAATTACACCTACAACTTTGTTGTTTATTATCATCACTATTATTATTATGAAGAATATGCAATTTCTATGTTTTGTTTATATAAAAAAAATAAAAGGAAATTAAATTTCCCCCCCCCCCCAGACTGCCGCCCTGTTCGGCCGCACATGTTGCACATATCAAGCTCCGCCCCTGAGTGTGGGTTGAATAATAACAGAGGGTAAGTATCCAACAAAGGATTTTATTAAACAAAACAAAAAGGCAGATATTCACAAAAGGGGTAAAAGAGTAACAAAAAGTGCCAAGCCAAAAGGGCTGGGAAGAAGAAGAAGAAAGTATCATTTCTATAGCGCCTCTCAAGATAAAAATCCCGAGGCGCTTCACAAAAAAAAAAAATGTAAAAATATAAAAAAGCATTTAGAAAATGTTTAAAAATATATTTAAAATGAGCAAAAATAGACAATTGTGATTAAAAAGTGTTAAGAAAGAGAGAAAGTGAATAGGAAAGAGGGAAATCAGTGGATCCTGAGAAAGGTAGAATAGGTGGCGAGAGCAGAATAAAGAGAGAGAGAGTAGTGGAGAAGGTCATACAAAAGCCAGCTTGAACAAATGAGTCTTCAGCTGCTTTTTAAAGGAGACCACTGAGTCCACTGATCTCAGGCTCAGGGGGAGAGAGTTCCAGAGTCTGGGGGCCACAGCAGCAAATGATCTGTCACCTTTGGTCTTTAGCCTGGTGCTGCACAACCAGTAGGCTTTGATCACTGGACCTCAGGGACCTGCTGGGGGTGTAGGGACTAAGAAGATCACCAATGTAAGATGGTGCTTGTCCATGTAAGGCCCTATAGACCAGAACCAGGATCTAGAAATGAACCCTGAAGTTGACTGGCAGCCAGTGAAGCTGGAGGAGAAGCGGGTGATGTGGATGTGTTTGGAGGACTTGGTCAGAGGCCGAGCACAGGCATTCTGAACCACCTGTAGACGGTTCAGGGAGGTTCTGCTCAGACACGTGAAAAGAGAGTCACAGTAGTCTAAGCGTGAGGAGATGAAGGTGTGGAGAACAGTCTCAAGTTCAGAGCGGGACAGAATGGGACCCCTCTGTGTAAGAGGGGGTTAACTAACCAAAACACAGTAACTACAAACTCCAAGCTAATGGAGGGATGCCCTGTTAAGCAGGGATGCTGGGAAAAGTCCACAAACAAAGTCAAATAGCCGTTCCATCATCGGGGTTACCAGAGAGTCAAACTCTAATCTTAATAACAAATCAAAGTTCTTAAGCCGAGACTAACACACACACGCAAGGAGAAGAGAGCAGCAAAAACTCTTCCGAGCCTTCACTACCCTGGACCTTCTCAAAGATTGTGGGCAGGAGAGCAGCCTTTAACAGCTGACCCATAATTGCCCATTACACACAGCTGAGACAGGCGAGGCAAAAGCCACCGAGGCCATCTTGTGGCCGAAAAGGGGCAGAGCACGTAACGTAGGTGCAGTCAGAACACTGACAAGATCCAATGGTATGGTCAGATGACAGGTGACCATGAATAGCAGGTGTTCTTCCATAGGCGCTGTGTAAAGCGGGTTATGCCACTTGTTTTTGGTACACAACTCCTGCGACCATAGAAGACTCAGAATGTTTAAGTGTGCTACTGGGACAGTTGGTATAATCACACAGGTTCATTGTGCGCATACATACCTGCAGCTGTCTGACGTAATTTTCTTGTTCAATTGTCGGCATAACGCAAGGCTCTGTATTGCTTTGTGTTGTCGATTGTAACTTCTCATTTTAACGCCCTAGCCGTTTTTTGCTTTGCTTCCATTTTCGTTAGTCCAGTAGCTTTACATCGAGTGTTTTGATTGTTGGATAGAAACACACTCACGGTATGCGAGGGCACGTGGTGCGGACCTTGTGTACTATCACGATGGTAAAGTGCAGTACACCCAATGCGGTCTGCTAGCAGCTTCAGTGTCGAAACATAGTCTAGATTCATCGAGGCAGACATGGTGTTTTTGTTACAAATAGCAAATGAACACAGATAAATAAACTAATAGTTTCTTCCCTGAGAAGCCACAAGCTATACTACCTTTACATTTTCAATTCCTCCTTTTTGTACATTTGTGTTGTGCGCAACAATAAATATTGCATGATTGGACAGAGGGGGAGATGTCTGCTGGGGGGGGGGGGGGGGGGTAGTTTTGTGGGCTTTTTCTGTTATTCTTAAAGAAAAGAGTCGGAGAGAGTTTTTCAGTCAAGAACAGCGTGGTCTTTTATTTATCTTCTCACATGTCAGGACAGCTGAAAGACCCCGACAAAAGAGTGGTTCCCCTTTTTATAGCTCACATCTCTTCTGTGGAAACTGTGGGTGGAGACTTCTGTCTGGGACCCAGCAACACTTTTGGAATCACATCAAGTATTTAGCAAGTTAGATAAGCTTTGAGCAATTCTACTGGAAGCAAGCAGAGACCAAAACAGGAAATTCCTTTGGAGCTGATGTTGGAACAGCACACGAACTCTAGCCAGAAAACACTTTCAACCTAAGAACTCAGCTTTAACTCAATACATTCTGTAGATGACCTCTTGACCTTTTTGGCGCCAACAGTTTTCTCTCAGTCAGGGGCTTTCTGCTCGCTCGCACGGAGGGTTTTCTGCTCTCTTGGGCGGGGCATTTTGTGTTAGTCGGGCATGTCATTGCTTATGTGGTTGGGCAACTCAGCAGTGTGACTCGTGGGGAATGCATTCAAGGTTGCATTGCTTATGACCAAGCTAGTCACATTGTCCTTCACATCAACGGTCTACAAGCTAGACCTTTTACTCCTCGAGCATGGGCAAAAAGACGTTCATCTTAACGACTAATCCGCCATGGTACACGGAAGCCCAAGCGCACAAACTACCCTTCACCTGTGCTTTCACCGAGGAGTTATTCACCAACGTTGCACTCGCGATGAGCGAAAAGGCAACAACAATTACGGAGTACATTGGGAACAATGCATATCAACCCAGAACGATCCGCAAGGTCATCAGAGACATGGTCATTGAAGACATCGGGCGTTTTAGTCAACAGCCGTCCAGGTCCCTCCTGGTTACATTAATGGACATTGTGGACATTCAAGCTATTGGATTGGAGTGTATGTCAACCGACGACTGAGCCGGCGTTAAAGAATTACTGCTGGCGCTGAGAAACTACACGCATTTTTATATACCATCTACAGAGTTGAAGATTGGTTCAGATGCTCGCATCGTCATTCCCGTGGTGACAGCACAGTTACAATGTTCTAGGACTATGGAACTACGTTACTGCTGTAGGAGCCAAAAAGCAGTGTTCTGTGTACGTGCATTTTGACAAGATGTTTATCAGCCCAGCATCCTGTGTACGTGCACTTTTAACATCTTGATTGTCCAGCTGCTGCGTACGTGCTCAACAACATGTTGTTCAGTCCAGCTTATGTAACTTCCAGTAAGTATTGGCTTACTTTGACCATATTGGGTAATAAAACAGCATCCCATCATTTCCCGAAATCATGAGGGTGGGGGCCAGAAGAGTATAACCGATGCTGCGTGGTGTAGGAGAGAGGGCTTTGCAGCAGGTTTCCAGCCGAGGCATTTAGTTCGAGGCTGAAGGCTGTCCCCATGAAGTGTTGGTGATGTATTGCTGAATTGTACAAATAAAGCCCCACGCTGAGTTTGGATAAACTGTCTCTCTCTTGTTTTTGATAAGGAAAAAGAACCACATTTGGCGACCACGAAGCGGGGAGTGGAGGTGTGCTCTTCGGATCGTTTCTCAGTCCACTGAAACTTGACTCCGGGGCCCTTATAGGTAAGAACAACTTTTGTTCAATTTTGGAGTTATTTCCGTGGATTGTGAAATGGTCTGGGAGAAAAAACATGCCCTACTCATAATTTAGAATAACAACAAGAGAAGGCGCTTGTCCAGAGCAGCGGTGAAATTATTCACACATGTGTGAAGTCAGCTGAGTCATTTTGATGACGGACAAAGTTTGTGACAAATTAAAAGCTGGGACAGCGAGAATTGGAATAGAATTTGACAGCTGATAAAAAAAGTCCAGGGAGGACAAGTAAAAGGTCGACAAGTGAGATCCAGTATGCCCCGGTGAGGCCGGGCTAAGATTGGGATCTGAGAAAAAGCGCTGAAGTTGTGACAGATAAGCTTGCCAGTAATTCGGTTGAATCCTCGAGGATTGGTAAATTTCATGTGTTGTTGGCAAAAGGCATGTGTTGAACTCATAGGAGCAGCGGAGAGGCTGCAAGGGAAACGACAGACCCGGGTGCTCGGGGAAACTGTCTATTGAGTTTTTTTTGTGTGTGCGCTGAGACAAGCGTGTGTGTGTGTGTGTGCGCTGAGACAAGCGTGTGTGTGTGTGTGTGCGCTGAGACAAGTGTGTGTGTGTGTGTGCGCTGAGACAAGTGTGTGTGTGTGTGTGTGTGAAGACAAGCGTGTGTGTGAGTGAGAACAGCTGTGTGTGAGGCGCCAGAGGTCAGAATGAGGAAAAAGGAAAAAAAGGAGAAGAACTAGGAGAAGCCTTAAAAACAGTGTAAATAGATTAGCAATAGTCACTGCAGTGCTAAGTTTTGATGTTTAATGTTATACAAATTTCAAAGTCTGTGATCTTGTTCTGATTAGCCTTTGAACAGAAAACCAGAAGTTAAAATAATAATAATAAGTTTTTAGAGTGACATATATATAAATAAAAAATATATGCTGAAGTGCACAAGCATGATAACTATTTTTACCA